GTTCTCCACTACCTGTGCAAAACAAGAACTCATAATGACACAAATGATCAACTCAGCCCGAATATGCTCCCACAAAATACGCCTCTCAGCTTCTCTCACACTTGTCATCTACAGCAGCATTAGAAATTACCTAATGATTCACCTTGAAAGTATTTTTCATGCATGCTCTTACTAAAGATTCTTTCCATCTAGATATTCATACACAAGACACTTTCCACAAAGATTTACTTACGGGCTGAACCCAAGTTTGCTCAAATCCACTATGAAATGGGCTCAAAACCAACTGCTCTGGAGTGTATGTGTACCTGTAGCCACCAGTGGCTGGTTTACAATCCCATATAACACTATTCAAAAGCTTACTTTCTAGCTGTTCTACTAATACCCTTCTATAGAGAAAAGGATATAGCCTTTGTCAGGGCTGTTACTTATGATACAGCTGTTAAAGAAAAAAGATCCTGGAAATGCAAAAGGTGGTCAGAACAGCCTGAAGGGCCCTACTTAAGCACTAATTGGGATTTCACATCCAGAAAGGAGGTGAGAGGGACTGTTTGGGCATGCTCTGCTTTATTCCCAAAACCCATGTGCTACACATGGAGGATTGCTGCTCTACTGCCTTCACATTCTGCATACAAACCCTCCTTCCCCCTTCTCCCCACATCTGTCACATAATTAGACCCAAGAATGTGCTGCTATCAGACACTCACCCCAATGCATCAAGCTACGTACTTCCTCAGTGCAGTAGAAGGAAACAAATGAGAAACACCTGTGCTAAACAATCCCAGACTAATCCACTATTAAAAGTCACAGTTTGTGCTCTTGTCTGCAAAGGTTTCTACTGACGATTCCTCTGCAGCTCAGCACCTTTCTTCACTGAGAAAGATAATCTAAGGCCAAGTCATCTTAATAAACAACTCTGAAAGGATTTTACACAGCCCATGTCTCCTATCATGCTTGTATAAGCTCTTCACAACAAGGGGCTAAGAAAGGAAACCTTGGGGAGCCACACACAGGGGCATATTCTTCCCAGAAGAGTTTTGTGGGTTTTGGAATGAAGTAATCTGATGCACAGATGGATGAGACAATAAACAGTTTTAGAGAGGAAAACGATAATGCTGGTTCTGAAACTAAACACAGCAGGTAGCAAGTGTCCGGATGGGTGTTGAAAAGACTCATACTATTCTCTAAAAGCTGATACACTTAATCCCTTAGAAAAGGAAGATTTAACTGTTACCATTTCTCTGGAGTATAATACCAGATCTCATAGGTACAATGCAAGCATAAACCCTTTTCGTGGCTTCATCTGGCACGTGATTTAAACAACCCTTCTATTTTGAAGACAAATGCTCAGGACTATACCACGCATTGTATCACCATAAATCCACTGGAAATCATTTCCCACAACCCAGAAAACAAATCTGTACTTCTTAATGTGCCACTGCAGTAGACTACTGTCCAAGCACTTTTTTGCAACATTATCAGAAATAATGGGCCCATTTCCCAAGATTCACCATATTCCCACTGAAATAAGCAAAATGGTTCAGGCAGATGTGGACCATAATGGACAAAATAGTATTAATTACAGTAGATTAAAAATTAATCTCTTAATGCTGAGTGTGGTTCTCTTTAAGTCAAACTTGAGATAAAACATCATGGAACAGCTTGCTCTGTTGATCCCTAGGTTAAATCTATACCATATGTAAAGACTGAGGATGCCACCCTTTAACCGCTTTCACATTTTTGTCAGATGAAATCTGTTTTAGGAAGAAAATAATAGAAATAATAGTTAATTTAAAAAAAAATGAAATATACTGAGCAGAAGTTACTGTTGCCACTCTATGGGTCATATACAAGCGACCTGTTAAAAAAAAACAAACAAACAAACCACCAAAAAAATTAATACAAACTGGTCAACTGGAGAGCCGGACCATCTTGAAGGCTGATGGTCCTTTCTTGTGTTCATACACACTGTGTTTAGCATACTCAATAAATAAAATATATCCACAGTCCTAGCAGCATGAGGATGCTTCCAAGACAAAAGTCAACAGCAACAGAGCCAGGTCATTGTTTTGCAACCTCTGGCAATAAGTGCTGTGCATTTATAAAAACCTCATTACCAAAACTTTTGAACACTGAGCCACTCTGCCATGGGAAGGCAAGCATCTTTCTCCCACATGCAGCTGAATAACTATGGTCCATAACATAAATATTTTGCATCACCCATACATGCCTTCTCACTGGACACAAATAATAACACATGATCTATTACACAAAAACCAAGCAAGACTGCCAGATAGTGATAGCAGGTACACAAAACACTCCTCCTCTCCTCTGAGCTTTACCTCATGCTCCAGTCTCCATGGGTCCTTTCTCATTACCCATCTTCTGGACAACATTCATAATTCCCAAAACAGAGACAAAAAAAAGTGGAATTGAAATTGTTAACACAACATGAGGACACAAAATCATATGAACGCAGGGCAGCCTAATGCCATTATTCTTTTAAGCTCCTCGCTAATAACAAGACTGATTCAGAGGAGTGTGTTTTAAAACATCCATGGTAATCGAGTTTTCTCTTACCTAGTACAACCCTTCCTCCTTCCATCCTGCTGCCTGATGCCTTCCTTCTCTGCCCCATAACCTGTTCATCTTCACAGCCTGGAGAGTCGTGCCCTTACTTACACACGTTGGTCTTTCAACCAACCACCTTCCTCACAAGCAAAGTCCAAACAAATAATAATAAAATCAGATCTACAAGATCAACCATGTGAATGCGTGCATAAGTAACTCCTCAGTGATCATTCCAGCAGAGCCTGCAACTCCACACAGGCAAAATAACTGCAAGAACAAAGCCGTCCAAGCAGCTACCATGTGACAGTTCACTTAAATTCGTGAGCCCTGTGCTAACTTATGAGAAACAACTTGCATGCAAAAGATTATTGATATAAGCTGAAGTAAACAAAATTATGCCCTTTGCTTTTTGTGTAAATCACCATGCACATGCGCAGGGCTGTATAGCACCAAAATAATTATTCTAATTAAGAAAAAAAAACACCAAACAAAAATTACCAAACAAAAAACACAAACACCTTTGCCATATAGCAAAACAAATTTCAAAGAAAGTCATTTGCATTAAGTCCTCAGAACGAGATAACATAAGGTAACATGTCCTTTCTCCTCTGTATTTTGCATGCTTCAAAATGTGACTAATGAAGAGCAGCCGACTGCCCTCATCTCTGCTGCCCACCATGACATGCTATCTGCCCCTTCCTTCTCCCCCGTGCCAGTCAGGGGAGAAACGGTAGTACAAAGACCTAACTTGGGGCAGCAGTAAACTCGGACTGCGGATTTTATAAACCAGCTTTCTTTTGCATTGAACACCACCTATGTCTTGAGAGAGGCAGCACCACACGAGCTCACAGGTACAGGCACCCTGCCCTCTACGTATCCCGTGCGCTTTCCCGGCCCGGCCCCAGGACCCCGAGGGCTCCACTTGTCCCGGCAGGGCCCGGCTCCAGGTACCGGCGCCAGGCACTGCCGGTGTCCCTCGGCTTCTCAGCACGTCGCTTCTTGCGGAGGCTGTTTCCGGGCTTAACGGCGACCGCGCCGCTTCCCGCCGCCCCGCTCCCGGACCACCTACCACCGCCGGCGTCTCGGGGGCACGGCCCCGCTCACCTTCGCCTGGCGCCCTCCGCAGCGCCACCGCCCCGCCGGGCACAGACCGACAGGCTCCAGCCGCGCCCCGCTTCAAAGCGACCGCGGCGGGGCCGCGGCCGGGGCGAGGCCGCCCCGCGGCAGGGGAGGGACACCCGGTACCGGCACCTGCGGCGGGAGGGAACGGCCCCCACAGACACAGCCGTGGAGAGCGGCGGCGAGCGTGAGGAGGGCTCCTGACGGTGCACGCGCCGGGAGCTCGCGAGGCGGGGGCATGCGCGGGCTAAGCGCGTCTTTCGGCATCCCCCCCCCCCCCCCCCCCGAGTGCGGGGGAACGGGCGGGAGCGAGAAACAGAGTGTGAGACCCCGAATCAGCCCGGGAGCCGTTCCCGCGGCCCTAGAACACCACCCGGCTGCCGAGGGTGCCCCGAGGGGCTGCCCCCGGCAGAGGGCAGCGCCGCCGCGCCCAGCCGACACCCGCCCCTTCGGCCGGCGCCGCTCTTGGTGCAGCCGCCCGCCAGCCGGGACGGGGAAGAGGACGGGCGGCTGAAGGGGGGTGCCTGGTACAGCCGTTCCCACAACAAGGCGCCGTTAGTGGCTTTCGCGTGGATGGACGCCCCGTGGGTGCCACTGCTAGCAGCTGCTGTGTGAAATACGCCCGCGTGTGTACCCCACGGAGTGTCGCCTCTCCGCATGTAACAGCGCGGAGGTTTTGCAGGAAAGCCCTGCCACCCTATCATGTAGAGAGGTGCTGCTCTCTCGCTATGTGGCCGATCCCCCAGGCCCAGCACAGCCGTCAGGAACCCCCAGACAGGGTTCCCCCATCTCCGCTTGTCTCTTGCCGTTCTACTGGCGCCCGCAGCGCCAGCGCGGAAATGCCGCTGACGGCGGGACGTAAGCTGCTGGCCTACGAGCGGAGGCACACACCGGGCAGAGAGCTGTCCCGAGCGCTCGGGGGTGAGGGTCGGACCGCCCCATCGGACCACGATGCGGCCAGCGGTGGCGACGGAAGGTGGTATGAGCCGTAAGACAGGGCCAGGGCTTGAGCCGGTCCGTGGCACCGACCTGCCTTGCTCAGGGAGCGACTCCGCTGCTGTTCATGCGCCCGGCGCCGCTCCCATCCCGCGCCCTGCGAACCCGCGGGGATACGGCGCGGCCGGGTACCCCATTGGCTGTTGCTAGGTGACGTGCGCCGCGCCACGTGACCGGTGTTAAATGCCGTCCCGGCGACGCGCGGCGCCGCAGATCCCGTCCCGCTGGCGGCGGCGGGAGCGCGGCTGCCCGCCCCGGCCTGGCCCCGCGGGTGCGGAACGCAGCACAGCACAGCACAGCACAGCACAACACACAACGCAACGCGGAGAGCATGGTGGCGCGGCCCTGACCGCCTCTCCCCGGTGGGGACGGCCGCGGGACGGCGGCGGCCCGTGCCCCGGCGAGAGGGGGAGAGGGATGACCGGGGTGCTGGAGAGCCTGGTGCCGGACATGCACGCCAGCCAGATCTCCGCCAGCAGCTACCAGCACGGTGGCTTGCACAAGCCGCAGGAGTCCCCCACGCTGCCCGTCTCCACGGCCACCGACAGCAGCTACTACAACAACCAGCAGCACGGGGCTGCGGGCGGGCCGCCCTACGGCCCGGTGGGCCCCTACCCCTACGCGGGCGGCGGCACCGCCCCTTACTCCACCAAGGCCGGCTACGACCTGGGCTACGCGGGTGCCTACGGCTCTTACGGGCCCTACGGCAGCAGGACTTCTCCGGCCAACAACGACTCCGGTACGTCCAAGACCCGGGGTGCAGCTCTGGGGAGCTGGCGGGAGCCGGGCAGCCACTCTAGGCCCGGCGATGAGGCTGTCGGGGCTCGGGACACTGGGTGGACCGGGAGGGCGCTCGTCCCCGTCGGGCCGCCTCGACGGGGGGGGGGGCGGTGATGCCGCGTTGCGGGCAGGGCTCGGGGTGGCGGGAGAGCGCCTCTCCTTATCGGGGCCGACGTTTCTGCCGTAGCAGAGAAGGAAGACTGCGAGCCAGAAATCAGGATCGTGAACGGGAAGCCGAAGAAAGTGAGGAAGCCCCGAACCATCTACTCCAGCTTCCAGCTGGCGGCTCTGCAGCGGCGTTTCCAGAAAACCCAGTACCTCGCCCTGCCCGAGAGAGCGGAGCTGGCGGCCTCCCTCGGCCTCACCCAGACCCAGGTAGTGCTCTCCCGCCGCGGGGTGCCCCGCCACTCGTCCTCCGCGGGATCGGATGGGGACGGTTGGGGGGGGGAGGTGTGGATCCGACCCGCGGCGCCTCGACAGCCTCGGGACGCCAGTGCGGGGGAAGAGTCTGCGCCGACGAGGCAGCGCCGGGTCTGCCCAGGGCTGCCAAAGCTGCTCCTCCCTGCCCCGCCGCGGGCGGCCCCTGTGCCGGGGCGCCCTGGCAAGGCTGCGGCCGCCTGACTCCCCTCTTCCTGCAGGTGAAGATCTGGTTTCAGAACCGCCGCTCCAAGTTCAAGAAGATGTGGAAGAGCGGCGAGATCCCGGCGGAGCCTCCCCCCCGCCGCAGCTCCTCGCCGCCACCCCCCACCTCGCCTCCCACCTGGGACTTCTCTCCGCACCCGCGCACGGCGGGCGGCACCGGCTCCGCCAGCCCCAGCCCCGCCGCAGCTTTCCTCGGGAGCTACTCTTGGTACCCCCCGGCGCCCGGCGGCCCCGGGCACCTGCCGGCAGCCGCCCCCCTCCCGCAGCCGACGCAGCCTCCGCACCACCACGGCGGCAGCGGCATTTTCTAGGCGCCGCAGAGACTTTAGCCCGAGGGGCTACTGAGGCGCAGCACTGGTGTTTTGGTGAAGCCTGGCTCCGGCCGTCCAGGAGGAGAGGAACCGGGTGTCCGCGCCCCATCCGTTGCTCCGCCGGCGGCGAACCCCGTGTGCGCTCGGCCCCGCGGGGTCAGCCCTCCCGCCGCCAAAATAACCATGCTGCGGAACAAGTACCCAGCTCCCCTCCTGCCGTCCTCCTTCCTCCTCCCCGGCTTCTCCATCCAACCACTGGTGCAGAACTTTGGTTAACTTTTTTATTTTTTTAAAGTCGCTAGGTGCCTTTGCGGAAAACCTCACGTTAATGCTGGGGATTAAAGAATAAAATGTTAAAAAAAAATAATAATTTTATATGTAGATTTAAGACAAGAGCCTCCCGTGGATAAGTTAACCTTTTTAGCCGTGATCGAAACAGTCCGGTGAGGGGGCCCGGTCGCAGGCGGCTGTTGAGGGGGGATTTCCGCCCGCGCGGTGCCTCCGGGCGGGTTTCGTGACTCGATGGGGCCTCCCCGGGGAGGGCTCCGAGCCCACCCCTCTGCTCAGCCCCCCATCACCGGCAACCCAGTCACTGGCCCTGCCCCTGCGCCGTTTGATGTATAGAGTCGTGGAAAAAAAAAGGGAAAAAGGAAAAAAAATAAGGGGGGGTATTTTTGGTTATTTATTATGGAGAACTTAAACACTCTTTTATGTTTCTTTTACAATAAGAAGAGATTATTTAAATAAATTATTGTTTCCATGGTGCCCGCTCTGAGTTTCTTTGGGAATGGGGGAGATTGGGGTGTCGATCTGTACCCCGGGGCTCACTGGGGGTGTGAAAAGCTACGAACCCTCTACCCCCTCCCCAACGCAACTGTTGCCGCAAGCCGGCTTCCTCCCCCCTTCTTCCCTCTTTTTCCCGTCTACAGTAAAATCTCGCCCCTGACAGTCTTCTCGGCGAGGCCATGAATCACTCAGCGCTCCCGGCAGCAGCCCAGAGCCGCCCCCCCGCCTGCTGGCGCCAGCCACATTTCGCCCAGGACTGACTCCTGCCTCCTCCCAGCCGGGCCGGAGGGCTTTGGGGCAGGGTCGTGTCCGGGGACCGGAGTTCTCCTGCAGCCGGTTCCCTGCCGCAGCCCTGCCCCGGGGAAATTTAGCCTCCCCCTCGCCGTCGGTAGCACCCAGGCCGGGAGCCCGCGTGGGAGCTTTGGTTGGGCCGGAGCTGGTGGGTGCCGCCGAGCCCCTCTTGTGGCCCTTCGAGTGCTGGAGGCACCGGTTGGGCCTCTTCTGGATGTGCTCCTGAAGAGCTGGACCCTCCAGTACGTACTCCTCTGGGATGTAGCCCTCCAGGCTTCACCCTTCATAGCTGAACCCCTCTGGATGTAACCCCAGAGGGCTGGATCCCTCCAGGCTGCACCCCCTCCAAGTTGCAGCTCTCCGGGATGGAGGGGGCTGACCTCCCCGGAACGTAGCCCTCTGGGGGACCCCATGCCCCTCCCTGCACCCCTCCAGGCTGAGCCCCTTTCTAGACTGCTTTCCTCAGGAAATGCCCCCCCATCCCCAACCTGTAACCCTGACGGGTGTAAACCTCTGGTCTGCACCCCTGGAGGTCCCGGGGTCTGAAAGAAGAGAGCTGGGAGGGGAATCTCTGCCCCTTGTCGCCCCGAGGGTCCCGCCAGCCTGGGAGGGTGTGGGGGGAGAGGGACCGCTGAGGAGGATCGCGCTGCAGACAAGATGAGGAAGTGGGCCAGGCCAGCTCGCCCGGGGCAGGGAAGGTGCAGCCCGACCAGGATTCTGCCGCCGGGCTTCGGCATGAGGAGCCCGGGCAGGGCAGGGGAAAGTGCGGGGAGGGCACAGGGGATACGCTGGAGCTGGGGTCCGGGAGGGTGGGTTGCTCCTGACGGCTTGCGAAAAGCTGGGGGGCGAGGGGAGGGGGGAGCAGAGGAGCGAAGGAGGAGTGAGGGAAAGAGAGGAAGAGGGGGGTGGAGGACGAAAGAGGCGGCCGCAAATGAGGCGAGAGGAGGGAGCGGGAGAGACAAAGGGGGAAGAGACAGCTGCCCGCCAGCTCCGGCACTGCCCCGGCGGCGCGGACGGGGAAAACACCCCAGAGCCGCCCGGGCAAACAGCGGCGCCGGCCCGTCCCTCACGTCTTCCCTCCGCCACTCCCGCCTCGGCGACCGCGGAGACACACCGCGGCAGCGGCCTCGGCCGCTCGGTCCGACCGGGGGGAAGGAGCGGCGGGCGGCGAAGCGGGGGAAGCAGCGGGCACGGCTGGGGCGGTGGGCACGGAGCGGGCTGGGTGGGGAAAGGAATCGGGACCGCCTCCAGAGAGAGGGGCACGCGTGGCGAGGAGCCCACAGCCCCGCGAACTGGCAGGGGCTGTGGTCGCAGCAGCGCGTCGCGGCCCCGGGAGGGATGTGTGTGTGTGTAGGGTGTCTGGGACCCCCCTCTGCCAAATGACAAGTTTTACTAAACCGCTCGTCCGGGATGCAGGAGAAAACCGTGGGCCCGGGGCACAGCCCGGACGGGGACAGCCAAACCTCCCCGCCACCCCGCCCCATCGTTTCTACAGGCGCTTCTCGCTGCTAAATAAACACACACACACACCAAACACCTGCCCCTCGTCCCCCAGTCACCTCCCCGCCGTCCCTCCTCGCCCATGGACTCCGTCCCGGTTCAGCGGTGCGCTGCGGAGCGTGGCGCAGCCCCATGGGGTCGGGCAGGATGCCGACAGCGGCGGGGGGTTCCCGGGGAGGGGGACGTGTATCAGCGGTCCGGGAGCGGAGCACCCCGCCCCGGGACTGGGAAGACGGCGGCCCGCCCCTGTTGCCCCCCGCGCCTTCCTTCTCCTGTTTGGTTATTACTTTATTACTTATTTATTCGCATTTATTCGCTGCCCGCTATCAGCGGCTCTCCCTGGGCTGCTCGCACCTGGTGTTTATGTGAGTGAGGCTTTTTGAGCTTCACCCCGCAGCATCCTCGCAGCTTCCGCAGCCCTTCCAGGCTCCTCATTTCTCCCGCCGCCCGCAGCGGCTCGGGATGCTGGTCACAGCATGCGGAGGGGATGCACACCAGCGCGCCGCACCTCCAGGTGCACACGCATAGATCTGTGCGTGTTTGCAGTCTGCTTTCGCATGTTCTCTTTTCCTGTCCGATAGGACGGGGCGGGCACCGCTCTTGAACCAAGTGCCCCTGCTCAAGGCGGCAGCTACGCGGGGCTCGGCTGCCCGGGGCCGGGACGAGCAGCCGAGGGGCTCTCCCAGCGCATCCCCAGCAGTCCACGATGGGTTGGGGGCGGGTGGGACTGGGTCGATTCCTCTCCACGTCCCAGCGCCACCGCCTTCCTCTCCCTCTGCGTCGGGCCCGGCCCCAGAGACGGGCGGCTGAGGGGGCCGGTCCCGGGGGGCTACCGGGGTAATCGTGGGGCTCCGCGGGCAGCGTGGGCCGGGGGGGGCCGGGCAGGCAGCCACCGGGCGAGGGGCACCCTGTGCCTTCCGTCTCACGGGCGGGGCCGGCCGGGCTTGTGCCGTGGGTAGGCAATTTACTCATTTGCCCGGTGAAAAGAAAAAGCACGAGAAATTAAATTAAAGCGGCTCTGGCAAAAGGAGTTATTTGAGGCATGAATGTCTCCCCTAAAGCTGCAGCAATCATGTGGCATTAGACACTTCCGGAATCCTATAGCCAACTTGAAAAATCCCAGACCCCTTTTTTCCCTAATTTTTGCTCTGATCTGTAATTTTATCCACATTTGCACTAGTTTGAGCATTCTGGCTCTCCCATCTGAAAGCCTGCAATTACTATATAATTCTTCGCAATTTCACATGTCCTAATATGGACTGTAATTTTTGCGCAAGACAATTTCCTGCTATTTCAAGCATCAACATTGTCAAAGTTGTATGTACATAATAAATGGGAATATCAATGCATAGTTTTTAGCATAACATCTTGACTCCTCGATAATTATATCCGTTCGGAGCCTACGCAGAATTAGCCTGAATTGCATGGTAACTGCTGCTGCTTTAAAATTTTTAAAAATTACTCATAATTTTCCCAAAGATTACCAAGATCTCGAGTGCACAATGTCATCAGCGTAATGAAGAGTAAACATTTATGCTAATAATCTGCAATTTTTTTCATCAGCTATAAAGACAGAGGCTATATAGCAGAAAATTTCAGTCATATTCTGCAAGAGCAGAGCTGCAAAAAGGCTGCTGCTCTCGCTCAGAGGCATGTGCATCTCTGGGGGATCTCGATCCACATTTGCACTCTCAGGATATTATTATTGTGATCGGCTTCTTCTTCCTTTCTTTTTTTTTTTTTTTTTTTTTTTTCCCTCTCTTTTCTTTTCTCTCCGCTTTCTTTCTCCCTCCCCGATCCTCTCCCCCTGTCTTGCTCGCACACTTTCGCTCCTGTAACTTTCTTAGCGAAAAGCCGCGTCCGGTCCTTTGGTGTGTTGTAAAGCAAAGACTTGTGCCCAGAGCCTCAGGGACTGAGGCGGCAGGTAAGGGGGGCGACACAGGGGCTACGAGAGGTAGCGCACGGGGCGCGACGTGGATGGGTGCCCTGCGCGGGCCGCGGAAGGGGGGGGAAAGCAACTGGCCCCGGCTCCGCCGACCCCGGCTCCTGCAAAACTTCCCGCCGGCGGCGCCGGGGCGAGGGGCGGGAGCCGGGCGCCGGGCGCCGGGCAGGGCAGGGGGGATGCCGCGCCGGGAGCCGAACCGAGCCGCGGAGCGGTGCGCGGGCAGAGCGGCGCCGGGGCGGAGCGGGGGCACTCGCCACCCGGCGCTTCCGAGGGGCCGCGCTCTGCCGCCGCCCCGGCGCGGTCGTTCTCGGTGGTGATTCCGCGGTGTGCGTTTGGCCGTTCCTCGCGAAGGGGAGCGTTACTGCCCGGTTCCGAGGCAGGAGCCGCGCGGTGGCCGTGGGGGGGGGGGGGAGCACCGGCTCTGGTGGGGGGACACATGGCACTTTTTCACCGGCGGGAACGGGGCAGGCGGGCGGCGGAGGGGGAGAGGAGCGGGAATTTCTTGTCCCTCTCTGTCAAACGAAGGGAGCATATTCCGAACGCAGGCGGGCTCGGGCTCCGATACTTGATTTCCCCCCCCCCCCCCCCCCCCCGCAGTTTCAGGGGCCGCTCTGTGCTCTGCAATTAGATTGACACATGTACAACATCCCCAGCCATTCAAGGGGCTTTGCAGGGACACTCCAAGGGGATTTTTTTTCTTTTTCCTTTTTCTTTTTGGGTGGAAGATATTAAAGAGGTATCTGTTGTTTGGCAATTTTGCTAAGTCTGTCTTCATTACTTCAACATTGTGCATTTGCTAATTTGGAAGCCCCTTCCTATTGACAGCTCTGCTCCATACACCTGCAAGCAATTTGCAGAGCTCCAATATAGGAGAATTGCAGAGATGGCAGCTCGCACCTATTTTATGGTGGGTTTTTTTTCCCTTCGCTTTTCTCAATGCACAGCAAATTTGGCTTTCAGTGCGTTATCTCTTTTGTTAATGCAAAAAGATTCCCTGGGCGAAAAAATTGCTCATAATTACCAGAGAGATGGGGAAACTGCATTAGAATAAATAAACCTGAAATTACTGTAATTATGTTGTGTTTGATGGGCTCGGCTTGTAATCAAGAAGAGAATACAGTGAAATGATGCTGACCCTCTTGGGTTTGCAGCTGTACGCGCACTTCGGGGTCTTTTTTTGCAAAAAAAAAAGAGTCATTTTGATCATCATTAAGCTGTGTGTAACCTATTTCAGAAGTGTTTGAAAATGAGGGGCACTTTTTTATTTTTTTTCTCCCCAACAAGGAAAAAATATATCCCAAAATTACATTTTGCCATTTACAGGCTCATCCATTGAGTTTTGTTTGCGGGGTGACGATTGTTAAAGGTATAATATTAGAAATCAGGATTTAAACATTGTAATGAGGTATTGTTTCAATATAAGCACCTTTGGATTATTCATAGTTTAATTAATATTCTCATTATGAAAATCTTCGAATCAGGTATTTGATGAACTACTTGTCAGCAACAAGGCAGAATTAATTAGGCCTGTATTGAGATTAACATTTTCAAATGTACAATTATAATAGCCTCTAACTCAAGACCGCCTCGCTGAGAGAAAACTAATAATTTCTCTATTTGAACTGTTAGCAAGACGTTATTGAATTAGGGGAAGCCAATATATCTTTAAAGCTCTCCGAGCTGCTTGACCACCCCATTTCTCTCCGGTCAAAAGAAGTTTGGTCTCTGGCTGCAGGCGCCTCAGAAGCTGCGGGTCCCGGTGCGCGGCGGGGCTGCAGAGCCGCTCCAGCTCCGCTCGGGGCTGCGGGGTGCTCGGGACAGGGGCTGGGGCCGTGAGGCAGCGGGAAATGCAGCTCCGGGAAGTGTTTTCGGGACCGAACCGCCGTGGGCCGCCGCGCCGCATTTGCGCGCCGGGGGGGATGCTGCGCTGCAGCGCATCAGCCGTGCGCAGACTCCGCGCACTGGGCAGTGGGCGCGGGATTCGGGGAGGGTGCGGGTTGCCCTCCGGTTTGCCCTCTCCGCGGAACCTCCGCTCCGGACAGCGACCGCTTCCCCTCCGCTCCGCAGCTCTTCACTCCCAGTAGCGCGGGGAGCGGGAACGGCCGAGCCCGGCGCTGGGGTATCCGCTGCGGCCCCTGGACGGCTCCGCCGTCGAGCGGATGCACGGCCTGGCTGCCGTGGCCGACGCCGTGGCGGTCCCGTCCTGCCCGCGCCCGCCTCCCGGCCAAGGAGTTGTTCCCGGCCTCTCCGCGGAGGGTCCCGTGGCCCATCGCTACGTCCGCCGCCGGCTGGCTGGGTCCGGCCGGAGATACCGGGATCCGGCCGCTGGGACAGAGGAGGCTGTCCCCTTCCCCCTCCTCGTCTCTCGGTTATGGCCACCGCCGTCCCGCCGTGTAGGGCGGAGGCTGGCCCAGGCCACGAGACAGGGAGCACGCGTGTCTCTTTTGCCAAACCATAATTTTACTGTCTCAGAGAAACTTTATAACTTATGTACAAAGATTTGTGTGTTTTTCGGTTTTGTTTTTGTTTTTCTTTCTTTCCCCAGATACAAAGCAATAAGTTAACATTCTCAATATAAAACTAAACTTTGACATATAGAACACTAAACACAGCCGAGCTCAGTTTATCACATCTTCCGAGTTTCACAAGTAAAATGTCAAGATCTCAGTACACAAAGCATCATGTTTTACAGCCACACGAAACGGAAATTATAATAATAATTAAAAAAAGGCTAAATTTGTGCAACATGTTTACATAATAATAATATTAATAATAATAATAATAATGAATAAAATATGTACAGCGAGTAGCTCCTGCACGTCGGTTTGTGCATTTAGACTTCGGGACATCTTTGCGCGGAGAAGCCTGGCCGGGGCTGCGCGGAGCTGCGCGGGTGCTCCCGCCCGCCTGGCGGGACACCTCCACCCGCCGTCGCCGCTCTCGGGGCTCTCGTTCCGTTCTCCGCGCCTTGCTTCACCTCGGCACCGCGCTCGGCAGCTGCTGCGGCTCCACTTCCGAGCAGCAAACAACGCGCATGTATTCCCTTTGTTGAATACGCGAGAGATGCAAACCGTTGGGCGCCAGCCCCTCCACAGCAGCGAAGTAGAAAAGTTCTTGTAAAAGTTAAAAATCGCGCCTTCTTTCGAGGTGGTTTATTGGGGGGAGGGGGAATCGGGGGCCGAGTGTGGTAAATGGTGCGTCCGTCCGAGCAGTGCACTCAGCGAGCTGAGTTTGTTTCTGGCGCTCTCATAGTGGTAATTTAAATCAATAAATAAAACCCCTGTCTTCCCCTTTTAACAACAACAAAAAATATACAGATGGAGAGTGAAAGGTACAGAAAACGTCGAGGGAAAGAAGCTCTGGACATTGTACAGCTTCTTTCCCCCTTGCAATTGAAGAGACCGTCAGAGCGGAGTAGCAAATAAATGACCTACATTTCAACAGACACAGACAGACAGACAGGACAGAGGAGAGGGCTTCCCCCCTCTCAAACATCTTTTTCCGATTGTCCCACAAAGCCGCGGCCGCCGCTCGCGGTGCTCTCGGGCTGGTGCGCGGTCGGTGCCCGGGGCCGCCCGGCAGCTGTCAGCGCTGGGAACCGGCCGCATCGCAGCTGTGCGCTCCCGCACCCGGGCTGCGGGGCAGCATCCCGGCGGCTGGACGGGCAAGAGACCTCCTGCTTGGTTGTTCGCTTGGGTTTCCTTTGTGTTTTTGTCCTCTCTCTCTTTCCCCTGTTATTATTTTTTTCCTCATTTTCCCCTTTCCTTTTATTTTTTTCTTAATTTCTCTCTTTTTTATTTTTTTTAATTATTTTTTCCATAATGATTGCGAAATCTTTTCGGGATCGATGGTGCTTGCAGTAGGGGAAAACGCGTTTATAATCACATCAGCTGCGGCTGCTGCATAGCTTCTTGGTGGGCCGAAGGATACCACGACGTGTAGCTGGGGATGTAGGTACCCGGGGTGCCCGACGAGGCCTTACCGGAGGCGGAGGTGGTATTCCACACCGGGGGCACCGGTGGCGAGCTGCCGGAGAGAGCCCTGCCGTTGGTCAAGGCGCTGCTCTCCAGGGCGGCCCCTCCTTGCTTCATCAGCTTCTTGAATTTGGAGCGCTTGTTCTGAAACCAAATCTTCACCTGCGAACGGGAACGGGCCAGGGCTCAGCATCTCTCAGTACGGTCCAGCATCCGTCCGTCCGTCCCACCCCCCGTCCCCGCCAGGGTCCAATGGACCCAACAGCCGGCTGGCCCCCGGATTCTCCCCATTATCTCCCCGTGGTTGCTGTGCCCGTTGCCATTTCGTGATGCTAACCACCCGGTAAGACCCTCCAGCCCGCCCCGTCGCTGAGGAGCAGCCGGCGCCGGGGAGGCCCCTCTGGGGCCTTTGCGGCACCGGCTGTTCCTCCGCGTCGGGGCGGGCGTCGCGCTGGGCCCTGTTGTGACCCGTCTGCATAACGCGTGGGGACAGGGAGAGGACAAGAGAGAGGGGCCATCACTACCGGAGCTATACCTGTGTCTGGGTGAGTCCCAGAGATGCTGCGAGCTCTGCTCTTTCGGGGAGAGCCAGGTACTGAGTTTGCTGGAACCTCCTGTTCAAAGCCTGTAGCTGCAAACTGGAATAAATAGTCCTGGGTTTGCGTATTTTTTTCCCTTTCCCATTAAAGCGAACTTCCCCTCCTTCCACCACAGTGCTTTTCTCGGATTCGGCCCCTACAAACAACAAGCGATGCAGAATAAATAATAATAATAATAATAATAATAATGATGGCAGCAATAGTAATAACAACAGCAGCAGCAATAGTAACAATAACAGCAGCAACATCAACAATAACAATAATGAGAAGGAAGAAAAGTGAAGCTCGACTAACGCTAACAAAGGCTCCGGGCTATTATGGCAGCCCAGGCTTCTTCCCAGAGAAAGTTTGCTATTTTTACAGGCTGCAGTTTAGGTTTAATTACCCTTAATTGCATACATTGTTTATTGCGCTACGCAATAAATAATTACGAAGACTAATACGTGCACATCTGGGTTGATTTCTTTTCCAGCCAGGCATTGTGTGCTCTGTGTACTGCTCCCCTGTGATCCTCAGCCTCTCCTCACTCATATTTTGTAATTTAATTTCATTTCCCCCCCCCCCCGATAGATTCTGTTGTGGTTTTTTTTTTTTAATATACGAGCACCCTCCCTCCCTCTTTGCCTTCCCTCCCCTTTCCCCCCCTCCCCAAAGCCGAGTGCACCTACCTGTCTCCTCTAACCGGGTCTGAGTCAGGCTGGAGCTGTTGGGGTAGGACTGCACTGAACTGATGTAGGGGTTGCTGGAGTGGCTGCTGACCGAGTTCACATAGGGGTAGCCCAGCGGTCGGGAGAAGGACGAAGCTGTGCTGTACGAGCTGTCAGGCTGAGAGTGGCCCGCGGAGTGTAAACAGTGCATGGAATAGTGTCCGTGGGACATGGGAGAAGGAGACATTTGCTGGCTGGGCGGCCCAAACTCCATAAAGACAGCCTTCCCTGAGACGGGGCTATTTAGACTCTCTGGCATGGTAGTCATGGTCATTTCTTGTCGCTTGGTCTGTGTGTGTGTTCTCTCTTCAGCTTGCCTTTTTGGGGTCTGTTGTGTTTCTCAGGACAGGAAAGAACCCAATTTAAGCGGAACAGGGTTTTTCACTTTCCATTCATAAGAAAATGGAGTTTGTCTCTTTGAAAAGTCTAAGCATGATGCTGTAGATCTACACAAACTCGCCTAAAAGCTTTGACTCAGCCAAGCCTATGAATATTCATGAGCTGGCGGAGCTGATTGGTCCGCCGTCTTGCATAATCGCTTTGGATTGGTCCAAGGCGCTCGGGGCTCGCCCGGACCCCGGTGAGCGCGGAGAGCCGGGCTGCCAGCGCCGCGCGTCCCCGCTCGCCGGCCGCACGCCCCGACGGCAGCGCCGGCTCGGCTCGGCGGCCTCCGCTACGCTGCTCCCCGGCACCGCTCCGCGCCCGGAGCAGGGACCGAAGCCGCCTGGGCTCCCTGCTCCCATCGCGGGCCGCCCGCTCTCGGAGGCTGATGACGGCGCCCAGCCGGAGCTCGGCAGGAGGCAGCGCGCCGCTCTCCGCCCTTCTCCTCCGCCCCTCGCCGCGCAGGAGGCGCGGAGAGGACGGCAGCCGCGCTTCACCAGCCCCGGCTGGGTGAGGGCCCACCTTGCGAGACCCGCAGACAAAGCGGCCGTCTCCTCGCCTGCCCGGCCGCGCAGGCTCCGCGGGCACGCAGGGACTGTCCGCCCCTGCTCAGGGCCGCCCGGTTGTTGCTGCTATTGTCCTTAAAGAGAAAAAAAGGGAAAAATTCCAAGGAAACAAGACTCGCCCTGTCTGGCTAAACGGCGCATTTGAGCTTAAAATGAAAACTTCCGCGTGCGTTAGCAGTAAATGAGGTGGGACTTAGGAGATCCTCCCCAGAAAGCCGACGATGAATCCCAAATTACTTTGTTAGATAATTAGAAAGTGTTGATAATTATTTCTTTCATAATTCAGCGGTGTGACTGTAACAGGAAAATGATCTTGTGAAAGTTCACACGTGCAGATGTATTAGTTACTGATTCATTTGATTAAATGCTAGTCTCAAGTGCTCTGATCCACAGCTGAAGGCGGCCCCATTAGCATAACACTGATGTTTAATTTTCATACGCATAATTAGCCATATATTTAACACTAATAGCAACATGCAGCCTTCCAGCATTAAACAGCCTGGGATTTGATCTGGCCTGGGCTGAACTTTCCCGGTTACACCTAGGTTGTCTAGGGTGCGCAGTTATCACGGCACCGCATCTATGTAATCAAGCGCGTTTTGGCGAAGGGGGAACACCAATAAAAGGGAACATTCAAAACAAATCGCTGGGCTGATGCCGCTGGAAGTGGCAGTCCCGGACAGCCTTCCACCGCCACCGGGGCTGGGGCACCCCAGCAGCGCCCTCATACCGGGCTCGGGCTCCACCGGGCAGAGCCGGTCTTTGAAGCAACCTTCTTAGGGTTGCGCAAAACCTGACAAGACAGAGCCCCTCCGCTCCTGTTTCTCTCTCCCATATTCCCCCCCCCCCCCCGCCCCCTTCCTTCATTAGCGCTCTGTCGGTTTAATTGCCCATTTCCTAACGCCTCTTTTACTTCCTCCCCCTCCTTTTGTTTCCCTTTTTTTTTTTTTTTTTTGCTCGCGATGCAAAGTTCATTCTCACGAAGCGGCCGCGGCTCGGAGCGGGAAGGGGCGGCAGCGGTGTGTCCCCACACGGACCCCTCCGGCAGCCGACTATGGCCCCCGGCCATGTAAGTGACCACACGCGGCGTGTCTGCGCGTTCTCCGAGGGGGGACGGGGCACCCCGGCAGCTCCGGCACCTCCGCCGGCCTCGGGTCCGGCGGCTGCGGAGAGAGGAAGCTGCTCTGTGCGCACCGGTTCTGCCGGCACCTCCTCCGGTTGTCCGGGCGCTGGCAGGTCTCGGGGCGAACCATAATCCTGCCGGCCCCACCAAAACCCCGCGGACCGGACGGCGCCGTTGTGCTCACACCCGTCCTCCGTGCAACAGCGGCCCTGGGCAGCACGGCTTAGGAGGGCACGGAGGGGCCGCTGGATGCCCCGACCCCTCGGGGGCGACCGCCCCGTCGGGGCTCCTGCCGTGCTTGCCCGCAGGGGTTCCTGTGTGAAAGGCTTGTGCGAGGCGCCGGCTGTCCCCGCGTAGCTGAGGCATCCCTTCAGTCTCATTCATAATTAGGATTACAAACGTGCGCCATCAATGCCAGCGCCTGGCTGCCACCGCTCCACCGCGGCCGGTAAAAGAAGTAATCCCGTCAGTTACGGAGGGATTCAGAGCAAACAAGGACTTCCAGGGGCTGCCAGCAGCCTCCTTAACACCGGGCAGCGGGGGAGGGGGGGGTGGTGGTGTCCTTGCCCCCAGCTGCCCCTTTCCCGCCTCACCCCAAGCCGCGGCAGGGGACGGGGGAAGCTCAACATCTGCGGTGCCATCCAGGGGCTCTCGGAGCGGCCACCCGCCGGGAGGTGCCCCTGGTGTGTTGCCAGGACGCGCGGGACCCCCAGCTGCTCCCAGCGCCCCGGGGTCTCCGAAAGTAAAATACCCCCTTCCCAGTCCGTCGGGCGGTGCTGGGGGTCCCTCGCCTACCGCGGCTCAGCGCGCTGTTTAACCTCTGTGTATTTGTAAACTTGTTGGCTGCATCGTTTGTTTTTACAGGTTTTAAGGCTTTCCAAGCTCCTCTCGGGGAGGACGGAGCTAAGCGGCTGCCCCGCGGTGTTAGCCGTGTTCTGGTGGGGTCCTGCTTTTTGAAAAGATGCTGTTAGGAACTATTAGAGCTGACAGCTCGCTGTACTCGAGTGAAAACAAACAGCAGCGTAATGCTGTAAGAAAGGGGCTTACTTCTGCCCTGAACCACCGAGGGACTCTGTGCAGAGCAGCCCCGGTCGCCTGCATGTGGCAATCTCGGCACAGGACAGCATCTGCTTACAATTAAGGGCAAGTTATTTGTGCCAAAACAGCACCTCTGTGGCCGCGGATCTGGGGCATTTCTCGATGTCCCTTACTGATCTCCAAAGCTACCCCGCATTTCAAAGGACCAGGTCCTGTTCCAGTAGCTTCCCAATACCAAAGCCAGAGCCGTCCGGCCTGGTGGGGCCGTCAGTAACCGGCTAATTGCAAACGACACACCCCACCCCCCCCCCCCCCTCCAGTGCCCGCAAGCCCGGGGCAGCACCGCAGGGAGCGCGGTGCCAAGTGGGACCCACAGCTCATGAGAAGCATCAGCTCCAAACTCCATCCAGGAGCCGGGGCACCCTTCAGACCGCAAACTCTTCTGTTTCTGTTAAACGCTTTCACTGCGGAGTGCCTCTCCCTTAACTAACATGGGCACCGCAGAGCAGTGATTATCCCAAACCGGCTAATTCTTCAAGGAGGGCAATTATTGATCTCCAGAGAAGCAAGCTTCGCATCTCATTTTTAATCACTTTTTTCTTTGTGCTGTGCAAAGAGAAATTAGCCGAGGCAGGAAGGAGGGGAGGGGGCTGCTGTTGGGAAGGCTGTGGGAGAAGAGGTGGCTGCCGCTCCTACCACCCTTGGGAAACTTTTTTGCACCCTAGTAGAAGTTACAGCCTGGGAAACAGCAGTGTGCCAATCGCTGTGTAGACAAACTGACCCCGTATCTTAGCTATAAAGGGAAAATTCTATGTTCCCCTGTCCTCTCAGCTGCACAGAGACCATGTCATCTGATACGTGTTTGTCCCACACAGGATTTGGAAGAGAGGGGACCCGCTCTCTGCCCCTCACCCCAAATAACCCAAACCCTTCGCACTCGCAGGCTGTGCATGGCTGCTTCCAGGGTCATAAACAAGCCAAAGGACTTTATTAAATCCTCACCAGCTAACACATGGAAAGGTCTATGTCCAGAGCCAACCTCTCCAGCTGCTTTTTCTGTCCTCTGCTGTGAGTTCTGCAGCACCCATTCTCCACAGAAACTACAGAAATCCTCCTCTCTTCCGAGTGAAACTGGAAATCTCAGAAGCACAGTGAGTCCCTCCGCTTCTTACTCCATCTTTAGGCTTCTTCCACCAGTTTAGATAGTATTTCTGCTCCCTCTGAGGTAATCACAATGGTATGTTCAAACTGTGCTGATCTGAAATGCACATTTAGCAGTTATTAGGGGACAAATGCATCCACCATGCCTGTAACACTCACCCGGTTTTGGTGGGGTTTTTTTTGGCTGTGAGTGATCAGTTCTACAGCTTTAGGAAAGATCAAAAAAATTAAATCAGGCACCTTCTATTGTCTACAGAAATTGCAGTCCATTTATCTTTCAGAATCTTAAATTCGGGGGATCCTTCCATTATTATCGGCTCTGCAGCAAGAAAAACAAGATGCATTCTAAAGTTAGTTGTGTGGAGTGTGAAGCAAGAAAGAAAGTGGGGGGGGGGGTATGTGGGGTGGTGTCCCAGCAGGTAGCTCCCCTTCTGCACAGGTCCTGCTCCCCTGGGCTGGCACTCCCTTGCAACACTCAAATGGGAACTAAAGAGGAAGACATCAAGGTAGGAAGTTGCCCATTCCTCTTTTGTAAAAGCAGGGAATTTTAATCAAGCTTTAATTAAGACCCCGTGGATAATAACCAACGCACCAACCACACTTATAAACAGCAGATAGTTTTAAATATGTGAATTTTTTAAACAGGCTTAAAATGTTCATTAAATCAGCAAAACAACAATTTTCTTATTTCCCTCTAATTGCCATTTAGCCACACGGCGCGAGAGAGGGCTTTTCCCCGGCGGCTCTCCGTGATTGGTACCTTGCTGGCTCAGCCCGCGGCCCCAGAGCCCAGCCGCAGCCCCGCCGGGCAGCGGGCGAGTACTAGCCACTCTGGGCTGATGCTCCCCGGTACACCGCAGCTGCGGGGACACGGACCCATCCTACCCATCCTTCCCACCCTTCCCATCCCCCACAGCCCAAGGGGGGCGGCAGAGCCTCCGCCTTGCCAAAAATACTCTTCCAAAATGTCATTTAGGAGGATCTATAATAACCATTTAATTTTCTGAATCTTGTCACTTGGAAGGTATTTCACTCAATCGGTTCCTCAATGCATTTAAAAAAAATGGTATTTTAATCTTCTGCTTCCTAAGGGGTCAGCGTCGCCGACATTCCCCTATCTGCACGGGTATTTCGATATCCCAATAAAGAAACGGTCCGGATCTGGGCTGCTCTGTGTGTACTTTTATAAAGAAACCCGTAGCAGAGAGTTACTAACCTATAGTGAACGCCATTCCCTCTTCCATTAGCAAATCGCTGTCATTGGCTACAAAACAAAATAAAAACGCGGTTATGACTGTTGGGTTTTTGGTTGTTGGTTTTTTCTTCCCTTTTTAATAAACACAAACAGCACTTGGTTTAACCCCCTTTTCTGGCTCGCAGGTACCGCGCACGCCGGTCCCCGCTACGAACCGCAGCATCCGCCGAAAGTGATCCCACCTCGGCAGCAGTCGGACCGCCCGAAGGCGGCTCCGTCCAGGCCGGGTCCGGGAACATTAACTTTTCGGCCGAGACTTTTCTTTGCCCTGTAACAAACTTTGCCGGCATGGCTCAGGAGCGGGGGGGGGGGGGGGGTGGGGATGCAAGGTTATGGGGGTGTGGGGCCACGGGACACGGCGGATGCCACCCGGAGCGGGGGTCAGAGGCGGTCCGCGGGACACTGCTGCCCCAACGACTTGGTTAAACGAGCGATCTGTCCTCAAAAATACCCGTGCGACTCTCGGAAAAGGAGGCCGGGTCTGCCCGCCAGTACCTAGCGTGGAACGCCCCCCTCTCCGGGGATCCCCGCCGGGACCGGCAGCGTGCCTGGCTGAGGAGGGGGGTTCTGTTCGTTTTACCCCCCTTCCTGGAGCCGTTCCATTGCCGGCGGCAGAGAGAGCGCGGGGGGCAGTGGGGCCGCTTACCGTGGTGCCACACTTCGGGGTGCCCGTGGAAGTACGACCCGATGCCGTGGCCGATGAAGAACGGGCAGACCTGGAAGCCGCCCTGCAGCGCCACGGAGCTGCGAGGGCAAAGAGGACACCGTGAGGGAGTGTGGCCCGACCACCACCTCTGTCAGCCCCGGGTCTTGCCACCACACTGGTATCAGCAGCAGCATCACCCAGCTCCCATCCCCAACACTGGGTCACCACTTTGTGCCTGCTCCAAAAGACAGCAGCCGTCGGAACTAGCACCGGTGAGCCATTGTTAGGTTTCAGAGTGAACATGCCTGCCAGCAGAGGCTGGTAGCTTCTCTGTCAGCCCTGCTCTGTCTATGCAAGGCGGCAGCATATCATGTCCCTATCTAATGCTGGGTAACCTTTTCCACAAGCACATTGGGAACTCATTTTAACCTGGGACAGCTAAATGGCAGCCAAGTCACGCAGCTGAGACTCCAGCACACCACCAAACTGCAGCCTCCTAAGTCTGCCAAGCCCTCCCTCTGTGCACAGTCCATGCTGGGTTGTGTATGCACTGTCTGCACTGGGTTTTCTGCAGGAACAGAGGTTCTTGCGGCCAACAGGGAGAGTTAAGAGCCCTACTGCTTCCTTTTTGGAATACTGCAAATATTCTGTACCAAAATGTATTGAAACTCCAGCAAATCTATTCCTGATAATGAACCCATCACCAAACCGTTCAGTAACAAAATGAAAGAGTCATAGTTCATCAGTTCTGCCTGGGAGATCTGTCCTGTTCTCCAGGGCCTGCCACAGGGAGGAACATCTCTGAGAGCTGCCTGCGGGAACATGGTCAGGCACTGATCCCTACCCATGTCAGGAAAGCAAATTCCTATTCTGATCCCTAAAAAACGTATGTGGGTTGTCCTCTGGCTGCTGGGCTACCCCATGTCTGCAGGCTTCACTATCGGATTCTGCCCTTACTCAGCCAGCAGTGCATGGGGTGACTTAAGGGCTCAGCCAGGAAGGCTGTCACATCCGAAACAGAAATGTGCAGAGGTTTGGGGGGACCTGGAGGGGGATTAGAAGTGACAAGGAGGTTATCCCTGTCCCTGTGTATGATCTTCATACTATTTCTAAAATCAAGCAGGAAGGCACTTAGCCTGAAAGATTTCACCTACAACATTAAAATCAAACTTGTTTTAAATCAAACTTGAAGTTTTAAAAACTTCAGGTTTGCCTATATTTAACCATAACATGTTTTCTCAGAGTTTGACTACAGGTGGAAAAGCAGAAAAGTTAAGAAACTCAAACAAAAGTGTAAGCTCTCACAGAAATTAAAGCATGTTAAACCCTACAGGGAGACTCTCACTCAGGTGCAAAGTGGCCTCAACCTGCTGTATGCAGTAATCCCTTTGCACACCAGGCTTCACAGACCCTGCAGTGCTGGCTCCAGTGCCTGTGGGTCACCATCCTAGAATTTAATGCCACTGCAATTGAGGGACATGGTGCTCCACCACAGCAAAATGACAATGAGAGAGGAGTTGGGTCAATGGTTAATAATGCCGCAGTGTTCAGACCTTAAGAGCACATTCTAACAGGATTTGTATATTAGCTTTTACCCACCCATTGCCCTGATACAAAGACCCATCACATTTCATTCATTAACTCTAGAGAAAATGGAATGTCAATTTTAGCTGCCTCCAAACTCCTAAGTATTGGCAAAGACAGTTACCAATAAGGCTAGAAGTTTGGCTTCGTTTGGCTGCACACAAAATCATCTATATGGAAAAAAAGTAATGAAGGTTTATGCAGCAAAAAGTCCTACTTAGAGATGGAAAACTTTCTCCCCTGCCTTTCTAACACATTGCCCACATCTGGGTCAGAGACTTGGCCTGCTGGCTATGACAATACTGAAGGCCAAGGAAGAAGCATGGGGAATGGAGTCAGAAAGCCAGATTACTCAGAAACATACACAAAATGAAACTGATGGTCTCCAGTGACCAAGCCCAGAGCAATGCAGATAATGAGTCCCATCTGGGTGAAGCAATTCTCTGAAGAGAGATGGGAGAAGCCATCCATGCAACATGTGATAAGCTTTTCTTTCACCTTCTTCTGCAAGCCTTTTTGCAAGAGGACAAACAATCCCTGACTACTCAGCTTTGCCAATGTCCTTACATGGCACTCCTGACCACTGAAAAAGCACGGTTGGTTTATGAGTTGTTTTGTATTATTACAGGATTTCCCCCCCCCCAAGAAATACCCATCTTCTGTAGCAAGACAGAAAGCTCTTTTCTGTGCAGCTATTCTTCCAGGCACCATGGCTACACACTCTCTGTGGGCAAGGGAAGCTCTCATCCCAGCACTCAGCTGCTGCTGAGGAGGGTGGCAGTGGCAGCAGCAGCTGCGTGCTGAGAATCGGATGCAAGAGCACTGAGGTACACAGAAGGCAGTGTTAAGACAGCATCCTGTCCTCAGATGGTGAGAGAAGTGGTTCTTGTGCATTTCAACAGCAAATTCTGCCACTTTCTTGCCAAACAGCTTGAAAACAACTCTGTTGGCACCAATACTTCAGTGGTTGCTGTCTGTGATCAAAATAAGGGATCTTGGAGCTCACAGGGCTTTGACATCAGTGCTGACAGACGTCCGTGCCCCTCCTCCTTCCCACTTAATAACGTCTACATAGAGAGCTTGGGTATTCTTTACATAAAATGCAATGTGGTCAATGAACCTGAAGTGACACACAGAAAACCTGTGGAGAAAATAAGCTGCAGGTATGAAACTCAGGCACGTTCAACCTGGCTTTAGCATCTGCATGCGCTTCAGAAGCACCTCATAGGGAATCTCACTCCACAGCTACTAGCTTTACTTTGGAGTATTTAAAAATCCTAGTGAGCTCATTCATCCTTGTGGAGTTACAGTAAAACACGCAGCTTTCATAAAAACCCAAAGCTACTAACCTCAGCTATAACTTGCAAAAGCAATCCTGCAAATGTACACATTGGCCCTAAGTGCTGTCAGGAGGACTGTGAAACAGCTCTGAGAAGAGTGAATTGAACTGTTAATCTTGGTCAGCCTCTCCAGCCTCCAGGATTCCCAGGCTGTGGAATCTGATTAAAAATCAAGATGCCATGGAGTGGATAATTTTTGCACAAGTTCTGCCATTTGCTGCTGACAACAGCTCAACATTTCGGTTTCACTGTTTCACTGCCCAGCTCAGGACCTGTCAGTGTTGGCCTTTCTTTCCAGCTGTCCCTGGAAGGCAGCTTTACAAGATTGCAGCCCCAGCTCCATGTGCTGCACCTAGCAGACAGGCAACATAAGATCAGGCATCCAGAGGAGTCCTGACTGCAAGTGGGAAAGCAGTGAAGGTGGAGGCAGGAGTTGGCATGGCTGAGCTGGGCTACCTGGCATCTGCCGTGGGAAAGGAGAGCTGCACCACTGGGTGGATGCGCCAGTCTGCCAGTTCCCTTTGGCTGCCGAATCGCTTCCAGAGCAAAGGCTGGGCAGTAAAGCCATGCCACACTGACAGCATCAAGGGGGGAAAAAAGATTCTTCAAAATAACCATTGTCAGAAATACCCATTGACACATTTACCATCACACAGTTTATTCTTTGAGCCGTGTTGCACACCTGGGCAGAGGTGAATTGGGCAGGATTAAAAGCATAATCATTTAATGAGCCCAGTATTTGATTTTACGTTTTGCTGCCATGTGTTCCAGCCCAGTGGCTGCAAAGTCAAGAGTACCTGCAGTGCTGCTTCTCTTCTGCTGATGGCAAAGCCAGGCAAAGTATCTGGCATTGGGATGAACTGGAAGCAGTCAAGCTGGTAAAGGAACATCACTGAGGGCCAGGCTGTCCACCTAAACACATAGGCAGAGCTTTTGTGTGGTGGTATCATGCTTCTGAGAACGGACAGAGACAAGAGAGCTGGGTGCCAGTTCCCCCGAGTACCCTCTTCCCATGTTGCCAGACAACAGTTAATTCTCCAAAAGGAGGGATGAGTCTGGAGACGTGCATTGCTGTCCTGCCAGCAGTCCAACAGGGAAATTGCCACAAAGCCACAACAGGCAGGACTGACTCTTACAAAGCTCTCCTTGATACTCTGCAGCCTCCTCTGAAAGGAGCTCTTGGGTTATAAATCCCTCCTGCTATGAAGCTGAAAAGCAGGTTGAAAGAATTTCCTTAGGGGGCTGGCCCTGTACAGATAGCCTCTAGGAGCATCTACAGGATAACGGGCAACCCAGCTCCAGAGGAAAAAAACATACATTCAGTCTTAGGACTGAAACCCCATTTTTTTCTGGGGAGGGGAGAAAACCAACCCAAACCTGCGTTTTCTTTCCTTTTTACCAAATATTGTAATTTTCCTCAAGGCAAGTCTGGTACAGTATTCTAAGCCCTCACAGGAAACAAAGTGAAACAAATCCTCTTTTTATCATTGACACAAATCACTTTGGGCTCTTTGATGGCATAAGTGAAGAATTTTGCTGATCAGACAAGATGGCACAGACAGCTTTGCTGCTTGGGCTGAACATCCTGGTGAATTGATTCCTTCCCAGCTAGGGATGCTTGCCCTACAGTGCCAGCTTCTTTCCCCAGGGATAAAACAGTCTTGCAGAGAGAACAGCATGACATGAATGGCTGAAGTTGCTAAACCTGTCTTACACTTTTGGGCACTTGGGAACACACTTGGGAAACACTGAATGAGATGAGACCTATGATAATTGTTTTCTTATCTAGGTTTTTTTTTTTTATTAGAAGTAATTGTGCTTTTCTTAGCTATATTGTTAGCAAAATGACCACTGAATGGCATATTTGCCTTTTCTTCTAATTTCTTTATTCTTGAAAACAGAATCAGCCTAAATGAGATTTCTTCCTGAATTTTATAACCATTTTGAATAGTATCATATTATCCAATTTAAGAAACTATAAAATTCTACGGGGAAAATATTAAATTATTTTTCTCTTAAACAATAATATTAGACTGAGGGAATGCACAAGTTCAGGGATTCCCTATAATGACAATAAATGTTGAGGTATAATTAGTAATATTTTTGAAAGAAAGGTACATTTTAGTTTCAAACTGGAACACAAATTACTGTATTTTTCTTACAATAGTACTGAACTTTTATTTGAGGTTCTCTGTTTCTGAAAGCAGACATGATGGATTGAAATAAAAGATAATTTATTGCAATGCTTACTTTCAAGTGCAGAGAGAAGCAGTGTAATTGTAATTTACAGTAGCTGTCAAGGAAAATCTATCACAGATGACATTAAAATGACTTATTTTGCCTGAGCCACTTATTGTTTAAATGTGCATAATCTGATAGAAACAGATTTTTTTAAAAATCCGCTTTATATTGTTCTAAATTAATATCAAAACATATACTTATGAGTTAAACATTTTAAACCATTTATTAACACTTTCATTACTCCTCTTTTTTTTTTCCCAGGAGTTGGAAACTGATTTCTTTAATAATCTCACATTTATATTTTTAGCTCTCTACACTCACACAACACTTCCACGTACTTAAGCTCACTGTCTAACAAGTAGATTTCAAACTAGACTTGTTTCTGTCAGAAAGAGAAATGTCAGAAATGGCAGAAGAAAATGGAACGCAGGGCCCAGTTCCGTTTCCAGTGGAGCTGACTGACAGTTTTGCCACCACCTTCAGTAAGAACAGGTCAGCAAAGAGTCAGATTTTTCTAAGCGAACTAACTCGCGAATCCATGCAATCTTTTATTTGCAACTTGTAGGTGATGGGAGAAGGAATCCATGAAACACGGAGTGTCAGCTATCGAGCTTCCATAACAAAGACCATGCTACAATACTGAATGCAAACTCATCTCTGCAATATAATTACTTGGAAAACTGTTGTAGAAAGGAAATATTCTGATTATTTGTGTGTAAGATATGTTCTGCATATCACTTGAGCACCTATCCAGAAATACTGATGAAAGAAACCAAGACACATTTGCATTCTGATGGGCCTAAATGTTTTCAGCTTGTAGGTAGGTGCCTATTCTCGGGTATTTATGGTATCTAACTCTTTCAAAGCTTCAGATTTGTATGTATGTATGCATTATATATGTCTGTCTGCATGCAAATATCAAATCACAAATAACTGGAAACACACAGCTTCAGCAAACCAAGGCAATCTTTCAGCAGAGGCAGTGTTAAAGTAGTTTTAAACAAATCAGCACATTTAAATCACCAACATGATAAATTCCTGAGAAATAAAGTTAATGACCTGCTATTTCATATGTAGTTTTGAACAGCTATTAGCTTTGATTAATCTGCTTTTCAAAGGGGGTGCTGACTATATATATTTACACTTTGCAAGTAAACTGACCTCTGTACCAACACAGCAAAAATCCAATGTCACATTCAATTCTATTATTTTTTCTTCTTGCTCCTTTTTTTTTGTTTGTTTAATACAGCTAGAATTAATGTAGTGAATCTGTAATGAAATGCATTATCCTGCATGGAGATTTATCAGATTTTCCAATTGAATGCCATGCTTTGCTAGCACTAGCTGGAGTTCACCTGCATGTTGGTGTGGCGTGTGGCTCTTTTTTGTAAAGAGTTAAGTTGAACACAAAAAAAGGGAACAAAGGTCAGCACCCAGCCGCCACTTGAATGTGAGATTTTTCTTTTTATTCCCCTTGATGTATACTAGGCTCTGTGTTATTAGTCTTAATGATGGAAAATTGTAGTGTTGATACAAATCTTTTTTTCAAAGTAGTAGGCGGGAGCTCCATTTGTTAGTAAGTTTTTTTGTGACTAAAAGCCACGGACAGTACATTTATGTAGCAGTAAAAGGCCTAGATGCTCTTTCCATAGCAGAGCTAATTATTCCTACTGTGACCTTACTGATCTACCCTGTTCCTAGTACATCTCATCTGCACGCCTGTTCCTCTGTGTAGATGGTGTCAGAGAATATGAAAAACCCTATAATGAAACCATTTTCATGATGGAGAAAGGCTACTGGAGTTGCACTTGCTACAAAGAGGCTCAATTATATGAGTAATTGTGATAATTTTCTACATTCATAGCCTTCAATGGGGAAAAAAGAATGAGAGCCACAAAGGAAAATTACTTTAACAAGAAAGTACAGAGAGTAAAAATGGAAGAAGAGACAAAAAAGGGGAAAAAAATAACCAGAAAAAAAGTTTAAAAAATAGATCTGGAGGGAGGAATAGCAAGACAGGGAGAACAACAGAAATGCTCAAAAAGCCTATGTGCAGCTGTGTTGCACAATTAAATTGAATTTTTTTTCTGCAGTTGATGAATGTGACTACTGCAAATGTGCCTCTGTAGTTAGCTATCATTTGTTGTTCCGTGACAGGAAAAGGATAATTACCTCTCAGAGAGAATCAAAGGCTGACATGCCCTTTAGACACAGCCATGAATGCAGAGCTCGATAGAATGCTTGAATAAGAATCCAGTGTTCTGTGCCCCCTTCTACTCAAGAATAAATTTTGTTAAAATGCAAGAGCACCACCAGTAAATTTGTTGAACCCTAGGTGTTCAAAAATATGAGGTGCATCTATCGACTCATCCCATTTGCAAAAATAAAACTACATTTTGAATTCACTTCTATTATATTCATGGACAGTAAGATAGTGAGATATGCATTAAATTTCTTTTCCCAGTAGGGGTCTGATTCAACATTTCCTATGAAAGAACAGAAAGACACTATCCTTTTTCTCCAGGCTAGTTAGCCTATAATTTAAAACTGTCAAAAACACAATTTTATACAAAGTCTTCAATAAAAGCTTCTCAGATATAACCCAAAGAGGTTTTACTAAAGTTTGATTCAGACTCCGTTACAATATTTTTAAAGCTATAAATACATCTAACTGATATTTTGCCGTTCTCTTTTTTCCTCAAAGTATTTGAAGATTTACAAAGAAAAAAAAAAGCAGCATCCTTTCAAGGTGACTAAGCCTTGCAGCTTTTAAGTAATCAGAATGTATTCAATAGCATGTTGGGACCATTAATAGTCCAGAGAAGTATTGCTTAATGCAATGTGTGTGATATATGTCTATGCTTTTTTTGGCAAACATTTTAAAATAATTCATAGTTACCTTCAAGAAACTAAGCCGTATTTTTATTCAAAGCTGCCAGCAGAAGAGGCATGACGGTGTTTATGTGAAGGCTAGAAGAGATGCAAAATAGGGAAAAATCTCTGAATGTGAGCTCTTTTTTCCCCTGTGACGTTAGCATGCACTGCTCTTTGTAAGATCAAAAGCTCTTGAGTTAAATATTTTTGTACTTTTTAAACAAAGAGACTTATTTATGTTGACTAATTCCTTTGTAACATTCGTTATTGCTATACAACAAAAACAATGGTTTCTAACCTCCTTACATGGCAAGACAGATGTGGTGTAGTTTCACAGACAAATGCAAAATAAACAAAACCCCACCGCAAATTACATCTGTTAATTTAAAGCTATCTCGAGAACATCTTTGACTCTTTCTGCAGTTATCTTTGCTGACCCCAGTGTAATTCACTCAAAAAAAAAAAAAAAGTCTCTTACCCAAGGACCAACATTACAGCTTGGCAGTTCACATACTGATATCAGACTAAAATGATGGTTTTGAATCATAAAACATGTCATCAGCTTTATACCAAACCACCAATAACCTTTGTCCCACTTGCCAGCCCTCCTTTTACTTGTCAATATAAGGCTTACCTGATTGTGTTTCCAATTACAGAGAAGGGAGCCCCTGGTCTGCAAGCTGCAATTGCTTCATCTCTACATTTTCTGGCAACCTCCACTAACTTTTCACCAGATTTATCCACATTGCCCACCAAAAAGGTTTCAGAAGTGTCACCATGGTAGCCATTGTAATACACCTAAACACATACAGAAACGTAAAGACATTTTCTCATTTTGCATCCAGAAACAGATTGTCTCCTTAATTAAATCCATTCTTTCTAGGAACGAGCCATGTACTGTAACAGCTAGACCATGGGTAAGCTGTATTTGTGAGAATGAGACCAGAAAAGCAAAACATTGCAAAGGAGAAAAAAAACAACCAACCAAAAGGCACAGAAGATTGCAAGGTGTGTAAGGATTGCCAATTAAAAATTCAAGAAAAGCAAAAGTTGCGCATTACTGCCCAGCAGCGCACCAGACAATGACACTGCTCAGCTACAGGACACAAGGCTAACTGGGCTGTATGCAAGAAGATGGATGGAGGCTGTGCACGGGCTGAAGAGGGTTCTTGGGGTCCACTGGGAGCCCACCCACCCAGGACACCTGCTCCTGGGGCTGGGGACCTGCTTGCACACCACAGGGTTGGCTGCTGAGTTCCGGTGTTGGGTGTGGGCACTTGAAGAGCCAGCAGCTCTAGCAGGGAGACCCACAACTCTGTAGCCAGCAATCCCTGCTGGGGTTTTGAGTGATACTGTGCACAGCTGGGTGAGAGGGGTACCCTGTTACCAACATCCACAGGGAGCCCCATGGAATGTACGGGCCAAATCTACAGCCAATCTCTGCCTGTTTGCTTTAGTCTCAATTTTAAACTACAGTGGGGCATTAACACTGGATTTTACTTCTGGTATCCAGAGCTGAATTTTGAAAGACAATAAATGTACCATTCTGACACTGCAAAGTTTCATGTGCTGAAAACATGGCACCCTGCTGAATAAAAACATTTTTGTTTTTTTCAGACATTTCGTAGGCTTTAAACATCAGCTCTCCACAAGTTCTCTGCTAGGCACAGGAAGCCCTGGCTATGCATTATGGAGCTCTGCAACACGCCATTAAAATGGGGTTTGCAGCTCTGAGGTATGGCAGGCAGGCGCATAATTGTAAGACCAAGCCAAATTACCCTAAGGAAAGACAAATTATAATGGTGCACAGTTTTGATCTTCGAAAACATTTTTTCTCCTCCTGAACAGTGGGCAACTATCCTTCTAGGACTAATAACTCACCAAGCGCAAAGCACTGAACTTTTGCCACTGGTGAGCTATTTGTGAAAGACAGGCTCACATTCTTTTTGGTCAATTCTAAACTAGAAAAAAAATAAAAAAAGTAAAAAATTGGCTACAGACAGTTTATGCCAGGGCCAGGTTTGTGTTCAGGGTGAGATGGGAACAAAATGCAGGCAGTTAGGAGCGAGAGGTGTTTAAAAGGTGAGTGCCAGCAAGCATCCAACTGTGTTGCCACCACTCTGGTGGAGAGCGGCTGTGACCTCCTGCTCTATACCTTCCTCTGCCATTCCAGACTGCCAATAAATCTTTTCTCTTTCTTTTTTTCTATTATTAATTTAATGCCCATTGGCATAATATGAGCTAGCTCATATTTAAACTAACTGGTTCATTTTTAGTGCTAGCAAGTACAACACACAAAACCCCAGCATTAAACATCATCATCCTCCTGAAAAAGAAAATACAGACTTAAAACATAGGAGAGCTTAAAATTAATAGTAATATTTACAGCAGCCCATCAACTGCAATTACAGACTTCTGACGTTAATAAGCTACAACCACAGCAACTGTAACATGCTAATTCCTTAGAAGTCAATGAAAGAACCAAGTTGTAAGAAATGTTAACCTGGTAATGGCAGGCTGAAAATTGCACTATGCTGAGGATTCAGTGAAGGATAATGCTATTGTTTCTACACTAAAATACATTTTAAAGGCCACATGATACCAGCCAATAAAATTTATATTTTATGTATGAAATTTTACCACCTTAATTGTGCAAAAATGGATTTTTTTCTTCAAATAATTTGTACATAGTGTGAAGTTTTTACACTCAATAACCAGAGCATTATTTAGTCATTTTATAGAGCCTGTACACAATTATAAACAATTTGTTGTGCAGTATTTACTTTGATTTTTATTCTGTCCACCTGTCAAATGACCCAGATTTGCTCATTAAAAATAAGCTAAAAGATCAGTTAGCAGCTCTGAAAAGCAATCTTTTTTTTCTTCAGCTATTTTGGAACTGAGCAATTATCAAACACAGCACAGTTCAGTTTTGAATGGTAAAAAGATCTTACAAAGATAATCAGAAATTCTCATCCTTGCAGGAGTCTTCACATTCACAGAAACTTCAAGATTTATTAAATTTTACAAGGCTAAACAGAAAACAAATAAAAATGTGCAATCAAAAAGATCACTAACATTTAGTCAGACTTTATTTGTAAAGCAGAGTGAGCAGGATATGCACTAATATAAAAATATTTCATTTAGTTTATCATGGAAAGTGTCTGTTTCATGAATCTATACTTCTACATATATATATATATATATATATGGCATCATTATTACCCTAAAAGATAAAAAAAAAACTTTACCTTAATGAGATACAAAAAAATCTGCTGTTAAATCCTTAGCTGTTGCAAACTGATTTAGACTAATAAAATGAGCCAAGGTACACCAGTTCACCAAAGTAAAAATGCAGGCCAAAAATACACTTTCAAAATGATAAATCACACTGTGCAAACCTGATATTGTCAGAATTCCACAATTAGAATGTATGGAGATGGGAATGAATTTAGAAAGATCAAAAAAACAACCAAAGCAAACCCAGTTCTAGATCACACGTGCGGATACCATGGGAAAAAGGTCACTGACCCTAATTTTGATAGAAAAAATATTTTAGAAAGCTTGAATCTCATGCTCAGAGGTAGGTCTGCTGCAGATTTCTTCCACTTCTGCCAGTATGAAATTTGGACCCATGGAAAATTGTATCAAGTTACCAAAAGTTCCCTTAATGATTAAAAATGCTCATTGTTACGAGATGTTACTCCCTTGTATGTGACATATTATTGCAAAGCAACAGCGGGATTCAAAAGACATCGGCGTTCATATCAGAAATAAATTGCACTTTGGGAAAATAAAAACATGCACAGTAAAAAGAAAAAAAAGCTTCTGCAAGAGACAGCTTAATTTTTTATATATATATGAATGAAATGAGAATCAGGCTTCCAGTTTCTGTACTTTCTTGCTCCTAAGAAAATCCAGCTGGTGTTTATTTAAATAGCTATAATTGACCATTCTCTGGAAATATTAAGTCATAGTTATATCACACTATTTCTGTTTCTGTGCAAAAGGTTCAGGGCTTTTATACCAGAAATGGAACACAACACTACCTTCAGGGATTTTAATAAATGTAGGGAACACTGCTAGCAAAAGAGTTGCTGTCCAAATAGACTGACATACACAGGCCAATGTAGCCTCTAATGACAGAGTAAGATAATGTCAGGCCCCACTCAAAATCAGCAGGAAGAGGAAGATCAATCTTGGCAGAGTGAAGGAAAAATGCTGGCTTTCTTCATGTTAGCTCATCTCATACATATCTATCTTCAGCTGCTGCCCAGTACTGTGGTGCTCTGCATTAACTACACAGTGGATCAATAACAATTACACCTTCTCAAAAACATGACACATAGCAGGATTGGGTTGACATTTCACTTAGGCCAACATTGATCTCAGTGCATCTGATTCCAGTCCTAAATTCAAGTCAGGCCTGGGTCTAGCTGGAATAAACACACAGTTAAAAACAAAAAAGGAAACCAGCTGCTTGTGCCTTGGCTCAGAAGTAAACAGCACATCCATCTGTGCATCCCCCATCTTCAATCCACTATTCTTCCTGTTGCTACTAGTGATTCTAAAGTTGATCAAAGACTATTTTTTTATATGAATTACTCACCGTGACATCAATGTTGATAATATCTCCATCCTGAAGAGGTCGACTGAAACATAAACAGAAAAAAAAAATACGGTGACAGACGGTTCCCAACAAAGGCAATATAAGAATAAACACCTAATGACACATACATAAAAAATCAGGGGATAGATATTTTGTGATAGAGGAAGGCCGAGGCAAAAAGAATAACCATTTTTAATGTTCAGCTCTCACTACTTAGAGAACAAGCGTAGCTGAATATAAAATAATGAGAAACGACTACCAGAAAAACATACCAACACCTCAAAAATCTGCCATTATATTCTTTTTCTCTCACTAGGGTTTGTATTTTACTTTCTGAGTAGCTGAATGTGGTGCAAATAATAATAAAAAGCACCCAACAACAACACATAAATTCAAATATATTTATTCCTTCCCCTAAACTTATTTTGCTGAAGGGAAAGAAAATAAATCAGACTGTTCTTGGTTTTTTTTCCACACACTAAATTCTAAAGGCATTATGCTTTTGTTTTTTTTTTTTTTAAGTTTCTTGACAAACAGGATATTTTTTCCTATTTCACATTAATTTCTATAACATCTATTAGTAACATGATATGCATCTGCAATACATTTGTATATGACATTTAGTTAAGCTGAAATATGTTCAATGTTAAACATAATTTATTAATTTCAGTTTAACATTTTCATTCCCGGTCGTAGAATGTATATTATTGGGGAAATACCTGTCAGGAATACCATGACATACCACGTTGTTTACAGAAGTACAAACAGATTTTGGAAACCCTCCGTAGCCCAGAGGTGACGGATAGGCATTCTGACTGATTATTTCATGATGAACAATGGAATCTATTTCTTCAGTTGTCATGCCAACCTAAAATATCAAACATAACATCCTGTTAAAAAAGCAAAGATAGTTTATCATATTTACAGAATGTGATTGCAGCCAAGTATTTCAATGAAATCTCGGATGTTTCAAATACACTGCTTTGACACAAAACACTAAACTGCCTGATATACTTTATTGATATGTTGAACCTTCTTTTTTAAAATGGAAAAAGGTTTTATACAAAGTATACAGTAAAATCGAGTACTTAAAGGTTCCTAGAAAACCTAAAATACTGTCTACTTCCTTTCCATTCTTTTTTCCACATCTGATTTTTCAAAGACACCAATTTTCCATGGCACCTTGTTTCAGTAGCTGCTGAAATGTCTGGTTTCAATGCTCTCAGTCATTTAAAACACACCATTACTTTCCCTTTGATTTGTAAAAGAAAGGACCTTAACTCTTGTAACTGCCCAGGACGTTCATCATAATGCGTTTGTGCATTTTGTGAAACTGCTTTCCAAGTATTCTGTAATTTTATAAAAGATTTAAATATTTGGCTTCATATCTTGAGGATATTTTACTTAAAGTCACCATAGCCCAGATGATCACAGTGAATCTACAGGCACTTATCCATCATTTTTAGAAATATTCATTTTTCATTTTTTATGCTTGACGTTTTCTAGATTCATCTTTTTCTCACAATTTTACATATTTAAAAAAAAACCTCTCATAAATCATTCAGCCATTTCTGAGTATCCATGGAGTGGAAAATGCAAACGCTTAAAATAACATTCTTCTCGCTTTTCTTTTGGATCAACTCTGTCTCTGGAATGGTTAGAGCTGAAATTTGAAATTTGGTAGGGAAACCTCCCTCATTGAGAAGAAGTGCTTTTCAGGGTTCCTTTGCAAATTGATTTTGATTTGAATGAGTTTTGAGTCTTTGAAAATCATACTTCGTACACATATGAAGATCAATCTTGGCAGAGGAAAAGAAAATCACAGTGGCTGTGATTTTGGAGGCCTTTTTAGTAACACAAGGAATATAGGTAGGCTGTGGTGCAGGAGTCATACTTATCCATACATTGAAATATTCAGTGATCATGCACAATGAATACAGTGGAGTACACTTGTGTGCTGTGCTGAGGATAAAACCAGGCCGATTTTGCTCAGCTTGCATCTTGTTCAGCACAAAAACATGGCTGGGCAGATAAGGAGCAATGATCACACTCAAGACCAGGATATGGGGTTACTGTGCAACCCCCCTGCTTTTGCAGTAGCCATTGCAGCCTCTGCGCTGGGATGGCAGCCACAGCTGCAGCGGGCTGTCTGTACTGGATACTGCAGCCATCGGTTCTGGATAAATACAGGTTTGTTGCTCCTGCCTTCACTCACCCATCTATCATTTTCAGCCCACAGACAAACTGAACCGCTACGTACCAGACTGGGTGCTGTCTGCCGCTTCTCTGCTCAAGGAATTTGATGTGGCTTTTGGGCACTCAGCAGACAGATTTGTGCTCCCTGCATGGCAGGCTTACACACTGTGAAAAGTTCTGCTTTTAACAGTATCTCTTTTACTTTTAAAAGAGCTTTTGCTAGCTGGGCAAGGCTGGGGAGGCACCTACTGCACCCTTTACCCTTTATTTGGGATGGGGCAGTATTATGGTATCTATCAAAATACTTCCATTTCATAGAATTTGCTGTTTTATTTCAAAATCATTAACTCAAACCTAGGAAATACCGTCATATATAATACCACATTGTGTTTTTAAGTCCTACAAGCAGTGAATGGTAGTACCAAAACAACACTCAGCCTAAACTTCATCTTTCTGCATCCATGCATTATAATGCATTTTTGTTGTATTGGAGAACATTACTGCCACTAACTAAAGCTGGTTTGGAGGGCTGCATTCAACAAGACAACAGGAACAGGTGGAGGGACAGGGCTCTTCAAATAAAATAGCAGCGCAGAGTTTACCTTATGAGAACAGCCTAAAAGAGCTTGGTTTGTTTAGCCAGGTGCACTGAAAGCTGTAATGGCTCTATTACTATGCGAAGGGGACAGACTCAAGGAAAGGGAGGAGGCTGCTTAAGTTAAAGAGTGGAGCTGGCACAAGAACAAATGGGTATAAACTGGCCACGTGCAACGTCAGGCTGGGAAGTAGAAGACACTTACTGTCGCAGTGAGGGAGGGTCCTGGCCAAACACTTAACTGGTGTAAAACAGTGCTCACCACCTGTCTCCAGCTGACCTGGGCAGGGGTCACAGCACCGCAACTCCTAATGCCACCTCCCTCCCAGTCCACAGCTCCTGGTCATGTAATTCTTACCTTATATAAACCTTCTTGCTCCAAAATGTTCATTACATCTATGCAGTATTTTGCTATTATGTATGATTTGGCACATACTATGAACTGCATCATAATCTATACTGTGCTGCATACATATGTATTTCACACATGATAAGAACCAGAGTATTAGTGAAAAACTGATCACATTCAAAACCCACATTGCATATACATGATCCTTCAGAAACATGTACATATAAGCCTATGTAAGATTAAAGATGTAGGCAGTTTTGTTATTGGCCACCCAGGTCCAGAATTAAACTTCTTGGAAAGTGTGATGACAGCTGAAAGAAAAAATGCATGGTAAACTGGTATTTTTTTCCCCTCTTTTAAGTCAATGGCATTAATCTGCAGTCCCCATCTATCCCTGCATCCCGTAGCTACTCAACTCATTTTACCCTACCCAGTATGCTATTACGCTAAATACCAAGGCAAGGTGAAAAAAGCACTCCTTCATCTGCAAAACCTGGTAATAGACTCCTCCCAGTACATTTTAACTTGGGAGGTATCCCAAAAAGCATACTGTAGAAACATTTCTGGAAACCATGGGGCTTTATTACCAATGCACTCCAGAAAACTGTGTAGAATTTGGCAGCTGTTTTTTCCAAAGGCAGCTCTAGGAGTCACACCGGACCCCACAGGGCAGTGAGGGGCCAAAGGATGGACAGGAACAGAGGAGGCAACCCAGCCCTTCAAATTTGCATACATGAAGAGCTAGAAAGCATGATGTATGAGGAAGATGGGCCATGAAATGAAAGGAAAAAATGTAGCAAGGACCTTATGAGAAACTCGCATGATTTGGCACAATCCTAATGGAGGGAGATTACAGACTGAGAGACATTACACCTGAGCCAGCAACTCACTCTAAGTACTACATAGGTCCAAAATACAGAAACAATTAAAAAGTCATATTATGAACCGAATCAAAAGTTAATAAATCCTTTATTTTTATCACAATCTAACTTAAAAGTTGGATGCACATTAAGGAAAAGTTAAAAAAAAAAAAGGTAGAAACCCCCCCAAATAAGTGAAAGCATAAAATGTATTCAAGTTGTTATGGGACTTCTGTAATTGTTACCTTCAAGCCCTTTCCAGCCAGAAGCAGGACATGGCGGGCCAATTGACAAGCTTGACGAAGCCCTTGAATCTGATCTTCATTTTTAATTTCTATGTCGTCTCCCCAGTCTGGTACAATGCCTGTCGTCACATAGTCTGGCTTCTTTATGTGCTTGGAGAAAAAGGATTGAAAATGAAGATCAGAAAACTGAGCATGACAATGGGATCATTTTCTCAGATACTGCCTCCTGCTTCATGGCAGCTTGCCCTTTCTGTCGTAGTATCGACCTTCCTAAGCCATCAGGGCAAACCCTCAAGGCTGCCTCAGTATTTCTTCCACTGCCCTTTTGAACTTAACATTGCCTGTTACTGCTGACTTGTACAGTCTGTTAGCCTTCCAGTGCTGAAACCCCAGATACTGCAGCTGACTTCCAGCACAAGACAGTTACAAGTTGCGAAACTGTGAGAAAGACTTTAAAACTCTTAATTTTCTTTTGCAAAGAAAGAAGCACATTTTCTACAAGAAGCATCTAAACATTGGGACCAATGGGACAAACATACAGAATTAGGCTCAAAAATAAAACTGATCAAATCCTTAGTTTCTCATTCAGACAAAACTCTGATTAACTTTCACAAGATTGCTTTTTGACTAAGAACCTTAGGATTTAACTTATTTTAACTTGGAAGTTTTTACTTCTTAATCTAGATCATATGCTGTGCCCAAATTTGTTCATCTACAACATTATGCTGTGTCAAGGAAAGTGCAATAAACTCCATTTTTTCCCACACATAAAGTTCTGAAAATTCATTTCTGATTTTTTAAAATCCACAACAATTTAATGGCATGTGTATAAATACAACAAACTAATAATAATGGTTAACAGAGGTGTTAAATGCACAGAGATGCATCCCACACACAGATGGAAATACACTTTCTCCTGGAGGTTCCTGGGCTGTTTCACTGGCTGGGGAAGAGTCCCTTCGCCCATCACAGCAGGGCTGATTCTCTACCACGCCAGCCACAGGGTCAGTTTTGCACTGAGTTCACAGAACATAGATTCAAGTTCACAGAGTACAGAATCAAACAGCAGAAACCAAAGTGGGCATGTGGGCTGTACACAAGAAGACCATAAACCGGTAGGGGTAAAGAGTGGTACAGCCAATTAGCTCTAGGTGGGCTTTAAATAGGACTACTGTTACTCCTACAGGCATTTAATTTCTACTCTGATAAAAAGTGAAACTATCTTTAGTGGACTTAGGTCAACAGAATTTCAGATTTCCGTTTTGTTCAAATTAACAGCATATCGACCCTAACAACATCTTATTGCAGTGGGCTGGGACTTAATTTAGTAAAAACCCCTCCATTTCCTGGATTAGCAACTCCATAACCATAGCACCGTCACTTTCCCCTTGGAGGGCACATATCTAGAAACTGTTGAGACCTGACCCTCCTGACTTGCAAGATCTCTTAAGGTAGAAGCCCAAAGCAGCATAGATACAAATGTCTATATATACAGTTTCACACCAACATCTTGAGAACAACCACGTTATTTCAGTGTGATTTCTGGCATATTCTGTATGAGGCAGTTACTTTGCCCTCAAGTTTTTAGAGCTAAAGAATTGGACTGATTTTTAGACAATCTGAGAACTCTGATCTGTGAAGACAATTATTCATTATGACAATATATTTCTCCCTCTTTGTCCTAAAAGAAGCATTTAAATACAGGAAAAAGAGTTCCACAATTTATAAACTTCTGAAAATATCTAAAGTATATAACTCTATGTTCACCCCTTGCACAGAGCTTCCACAGCCTCTTAGGCGTAAGAGCCCTACATCCTTATCTGCTTTCCTATCTAACAACTTTCAAGTATTTCTGGCCCATGGAAATACTCCATATTTTGAATAGGAAATCTATAATAAGATGAAAAGTAAAATTTAAAAAAGTATTAATACAGATCCTGAAGCACTGTTTGGGACAGGTATTTTGGTTTTCTTTTGCCTGAAGAAAAGATGCTAAACAGTTAATCTGTATGCTGTAAATAAATGGGGGTGAGGAGGGAAAGGGAAGAAAAAACAGAAAAAAACCAAAACACCAGAAGTTGGACACATTTTAAAATTGCATGAAAAAAAGTTCCTTTTGGCTCTAAAGTACATAAAAGTATATGTTGCAAGTAAAAAAATACACTCAGGCACAGTGAAGACAAGCTTAGAACGTGCAGTGGGGTTGCATGGCAGCTACCAGCAGGTATTGTATGTTCTCTTCCTAAATCTGACATAACCAATTAACAAAACCTTCAGCAAAATATAGATGTTTTTATAACTAGCTTGCTGGAGGTTTATACAGAAAAGGACTCAGATGATCATTAATAATTCCTCCTGACTCTTGGTAGGACCATCTACAATTGTCCAAACCGAGAATCTGGACCCAGAAGTGTAAAGTGCTGACAGATTATTAAAATATTCCACATTTATACTACCCTAAGTGAACAAGCCCCAAATTTAAACTCCCTAATAACTGTGTTTAATATGGTAGGCAGCTGAAAACTTCTCTCACCAATGCTCCTATTTCAAATACCAGCTCAAGCAACAGGACAGTGACCCAACCTCCTAGCTGTTGGACAATGAATACACGTGATCCCACCTGCAGCTGAACTCTACATGACTGAAGAACACATTAGATAATAGAAATTGCAGTACCTTAGGAACTGGGTGAGCTGGAGAAACTGTAGCTGGCCAAACTATGCTATAAGCAGTATTTCTTTGTCCCTGAAAGATGCAGCATCTTTGCTGTTGATTGCTTGACTGTCTGTGCAGGTAGATATGATTGCACAAAGAAAAGAATACACGGCAGCCAGTCACAGAACCTGTTAACAGATAAGATAAAAATGGTTAACATTGCTTTCCACTACACGTTACAAACTGGAAAGGGCAAAAAGAAGGACATCGTGTAAAATAAAACACAGAACTCATGCAGTGGCCAAGTGTGGTTCAAATTGTTCAAGTCTTTTACTGTTAAAGACAGAGCATTAACACTAAGAAGCACTAAGAACAAAAAAACTCCCCAAAGAATACTTTGAAGCTTTACAAAATGTCAGTTCTGTTTTGGCTCAATGCATTAAAAAGCAGTGTGGGGAAATTCCCCCAAGCTTGCAGCCAGGAGTGATGCTCCAACTGGCCCCTGCAAGGCTAGAAGCTGTCCTGTTCAAGGTTTGGTGAAATGGTAAATAAGGGACAATAGCAAGAAAAGAGAAGGGGAAAAAAGGAAAAGATTTAATATTGATTTCAGACAGTATTTTCAGCTGTATTTTTTCAGAATTGGTCATGGATTCGAGCATGACCAAGTTAATGTTGCCCTTGTGATTTGTCCACAAGGAATGGGGTTCAATTTGTCCTGCCTAGGAAGGCAAAAGAAAAAACTTTTTATTAAAAATAAAAAAGTTATTTTTAATTTTGGCCAAAGGCAATTGAATAGATTAAAATTTGTAAGTTGAATGAGATTTCCATTTAATTCACATGGGAATTCGGGATGACAGTTCAGCACAGTGTTCATTGCTCAAACTGAGCTGTTAGGCAATGAAACATTTTGCCCCTCTCAAAAAAATAAAAAAAACAACCAAAAACCAAACAAGAGAGAAAAAAGAAAAAGGGGGAAAAAGTACACTGAGACCCAAAGGTTGTCAGAGACATCAAATCCAAAACAGTGCATCACAAAAGATGACACTAGTATTGAAACTGGGAAACATGCTAAATTCAAAGGGATTATTGATTATTGACACTGCCAATTAAAATACAATTGCACGTATTGCATATTTCCATTACTCAAACATTCTACAATCTAAATAGAGGGCTTTTCAGAAATAAAAGTTTCATGTAATAGTTAATCTGCTTCTGAAAAATGTCATCTGTATATACAAACACAAGAGCAAACCTTTATGGGAAGTGACCCATACGAATAATTACTCTTCAGTAAATCATGTTTTCTTTTAAACAGAAGTAACTAAACATTTTTGTATCACAGAAACCAAGAAATTAATTTACTACATATTTTGTACCATGCAAGAATGATTTTTTTCTTTTTTAGAAGAAGTTTCTTCCATATCTTTTATGTTTTCATTTTGTTGTACCTTCCTTCCTTTCTTTTGGATGCATTTATCATGTCCAGATACAGAAATCACCCTTCCACATGCACTTTACAGCATTCCATGTTATACAGGAGATTCAAGTTATACACCTTTTTTTGGAGCCCCAAAACATAGAATGAATGAAATAACAGTTGTACGAAGATTGCTTTAGAAGTGTAACCCATTGTCTCTTTGCTGATTCATGCCACGCTTAGTTACCAGTATCTGAAAGGCTGTAAATCCTTTTACTCAACACAAGGAAATTTTTACAGGTTTGGTTTTGGGTTATTTTTTTTTTTTTTTTAAATTGTTGATAAGTAACAAGGCAGAGCTGGAGAGTGAGGCCCAGATCAAGCTCTCAGTGTAACCTGGGTACCCCAATGGAAGTTGCCTGTTTCAAAAGGGAAGACAGTGTCTCCATGGAAGTAGAGATGCTCAGTTAACAGAAGGCTGGATTGGTTTGGTGGTGTTTTAAATATAGTTTAATCACAACCTCACCTACTGCTTTCCCTAGTGTCTCCTTCACAGGAAGAAAAATCATTGTCCAATTAAATACAAAAAAAAAAGAAAGTGGGCTATTTAACCTGCACAACATGTAAGTGCATCCAAAGAGCCCAAAGCATCGTACAAACTCCCTGGCTGGTCTGCACCCATTTCTGGAAGCTGGAAGCACAGAATCTGCTAAGGGAGCAACTTTTAAGCCCTCAGAAGTAGCAATCAGTCTGCCAGCCTAAGCTAAGGTAGGCCTTTTAGAGAGAGAAGTGGAAGTACCTTGCTCTTACCACAGCTGAAGGTATTATAAATATATTGAAAACCCATGCGCACTGATGCAGTCAGCTGAAGTCCATGCAGACATGAATATGGGAACATGAATGCTCTCCTTGACACATAGCATGCTGCCTGGGCACCTTGGCTACTGCGTAAAAGTTTAATTGGGGAAGAAAAGGTGCAGGCAGGCTTGTAAATTGCTCAACAATAAAGCTCCATATGTCCAAATACATGTTCTTAAGTACACTGAACCACTTTATATTCATGGGTGTGTACCTATCGGCTGTCCCACATTTGGAAGGCATAGCTTTTTATTTGGAATTAAATTTTTGCCTCTGTTCTCCCAGAGACACTGTAAGTGTTGTCACAAGATAACAGGATAATAAGACACTGTAGTCTGTTGTTATTCTAACTACTCATTATAAACCAGACGAATACAAGAATATCTACTACTTGAACAGGTGAAATGAGACAATAAAATAAATATCACCGTAGTATAACATGACTCCTAAAATACATCACAAGAATTATAAACACAGGACAACTAAACCTTTATTTGAAATACAAAAAATCATAGCAGAAAACATTTTCCTTCAAAGTTAAAATAAAAAGAAATAAAGTGGCATTAAAATATAATGAAGTTATTGTTTTATAATGAAAATCTGGACTTCATCCACAGACTTCCTTCCTTAAGAAGGCCTTCCTAATGCCTCCACAGCTCCTTTTATTTTTTAAGCTCCCATATTCACAGCTAATTCGATATAGCAACATCATCAATCATTGGAGACAGGAACAACTGGCTGTATTCTCCAAGTCTGGCTCAGATATTCCCTCCTCCCCATCCCTTACACCTACCAAAGCTTTTCTCAGTGCCTAATTTACTTTTGCAACTCTAGCACTCAAGCACATCCTTCTTGCTAAGCTTTCTGTGTATATTAATTACTGTAAGATAGTTCATACACACAGGATTTACACAGCTTCCAGTGGAAACTGCAGCTGTTGATTAGAGCCTGGAGTTTGAAGCCAGGTAGCCTGGTAACACATGACCAAAGCCAGGATGCAAAGTTGACCCTTTTACACATTTTTCCTCTCTCCCAACAGAAAGACTATGTCACCTGCCACAAGTAACAGAGTATTTACTAGCAGCTGCAATAAGAAGAATCATTACCAGCATTACTGAATCACATCAGCAGATAGGATGTACCGAGCACAGAAAATTACAGACAACTTCTCCTCTGACTTGACAGTGAATCACACTATGCAATCTGTATGCATGCATGTCCTGCCGGAGCTGCTGGATTCCTCAGCATTCCTTACAGACCTTAATTTGTATTAATAGTATAAATATGCGCTGTGAGCTTTTGTGAATTACCAGATGAATTTATCTTCTGAGGAAATGACATTTTCTTTTTCTCTTAAACGAGGCAGCCAAAGGGGTTGAATACAGAATTCAAGTATGATGATGGGTGGGAGCATTTTTAAGTGACTGATTTTGTAGTACAATGTGCCCTATATTTATTAGCCTTTTACTCTAGGTCTATTTTAATTGTTATCTGTTCATGCATGCTATACTATATAATGAAATGCTCCCATTTCACTCACAGAGTGGAGAGTTTTTTATGTGTATCTCTATTAATGACCCTTAATTAAGCTGATTTTAGTCATTTAAATGTGATTTTCCTCTGGTCAAGAAGTATTTTTAACAGGAGATGTTGGAAATGAACTCTCACATAAGCCCTTTTCTAATGCCTCTTGTTTAACATTTGCAGCAATTTATCAGCTGTGTTTTCAATGAATGAGGTGTGGGGTAGCCATGCAAAAAACTGCTCATCTACATGATTCATCAAACGTGATTGTTAGAAACCATTTTTTTGGAGTATTTATTTATGAGAGTTCAAATTTCCAAGCAATTAACAAAAATGTTAGCAAAGGATAAACTTCAGGACAGTTCTAAGCTACAATAAATACAAGGGTACATCTTAAAAGAGCCAAGAAATAAAATTAACATTTTTAAAAATGATTTAGTCATAGTCCCAACAGAAGCAGAGTACCAAAGTTATTTAGGATTACAAGAATTAACATCTAGCCCATTTAGGAAATAAAATCAACTTGCTCTTGATAAAGTAAATCTTAGTGTATATGAACAATTAATAACATCAAAAGCATTGTTCTGATAACTACTTTCAAAAGATGATAATTTTTTTTTTTTACTGAAAAAAGAATGACTGTGGAGATTTTCTTAGGATACATGCATTTGACAGTAAAACACTAGAGATTTTAATTTGCCTTGTCAGGTCATTTCAATATTATAATTTTACTTCTTATGCAAATATTATTTTTGCTGAAACTTCAGAGGACTAAAGTTTAAAGTGACTTATTAAAAATCACTATGGGTGAATCACTATGGGTATGTGGAATCCAACCAATGCAACTAGGTAAGAATATATAGCTTTTTACTGTTAATTACCCAATGTTCCAACTCAAAGTAAGGGTTGTGGTTTGAAAGATCATTTACTTGTAATTCTGTCTTTTAAAACACTGACTTTGTAATCCCCGTGTTGCAATGGTACGTCCAAGCTTCAGAAATTGCATGGGAAAGATTAAAGGTTCTCTCCAACTCTGTGTAACCTGTGTAGCAAAAGAGCAGCTCACATTTCACAAGCAATAACCTGTGCATTTGCTTAAAAAAAAAAAAAAAGGGGGGGGGATAAAAAAAAGAACAACACAGGGAAATGCCTGAGGCAGAAGCTGAAACTGATTGGGCAAAGTAGGACAAGAGCCCTTGAAATTAAACAAAAGCAAATTCATTCTGTTGACAGATGTTGATTACATCAAAGCCAAGAAAGAACTTTTTTTCCTTTTCTCTTTTTTTTTTTCTTTTTTGCAGCTAATACCTCCATGCTTTCTGTACATTAAGGATGGAGCATCCAGCACAGCCCAACACAAAATAATTTTTAAATTTGGTAAAAGTATATTGCAACGAGGTCTTAACGACAGGCTGCTCCAAACAAGAGTGTATTCACATGGTCATGTCTGCATACCCGTGCTGGTCATGCCATCATCAGCCCCTTACTTCCAGGGGTTAACTGCTCTGGCAGCCAAATAAAATACAGAGAGCGCTGTGTAATTATGGAGACAGTCAAAGGGCAGACTCTATTTTGAAATCTATTTGCACAGACAAGGTCTTCGAATTTCGCTTACAGGAAACAAGCTGGTAAAGGGGGTCTCCTCCTCTCCAGATGCTTTCCACACGTTTTTCCCACATCAGGAAATCGTGGACATGGACACCATGCAGCACTGTTTCCTGGACTGCAGGACTGTGTCATTACAAGGATAAGAGAAAGTCCATGCTCGTGAGAAATATTTCCTCCTAATTGCCCATATTAGGGGAAAACAAAACCCACAAGGACTACTGAAAAAGGGACTAGCAGCAATTTGTAAACAGGACGCAGCCACAGCTGTCATGATGGTACTGGAGAAGAGAAAACAGAAATGAAAGGGTAAAACCACTCTGGTTTTAATAACATGATTGGGGAAATGAAATATTCATCAGGATAGATATGACTTCAATTACAACAGCAACACATTGGTAAAAACCTCAGCAACAGCATGCTTATGACTGTACAAACTGAAACATGTGCCAGTATCTCACAAACATTATATTCTAATTTGGCATTGGTTTATTTAATAATTGAAATTAACTGGAAACTAACGACTAAAGCTGTTTAGTTAATAAAGGTGTTAACAGAATTGCTGTTCTCATTACCCTCATAAGAGGCAATAAAGCAAAGCAATGGCCGAACACCCACTGATTCCAAGGGAGCAGAAGCAGCCCCTCTACCAACACCACTGGACTCTTCCATGACACGGAAAAAGTTAAGTTTGGCCCTGAGGACCAGTTATGCCCCTGTTAATTACAGTTTTGACCTTATTTCACGGACAGCGGAACCAGACAATTTGTATTTGCTGTACGCCAACACAAATGAGGTTTTTAATTGGCTGCAAATTTATAAACTATATGGAAGTACATTCTTATTTGGCTTTACTTATTATTAGTCTACACCAGCACACTAAAATGATGAATCAGTGCCTTCTGGAATAGTGCCGGTCTTCTAATTCATTATTCACTCAAACTTAGGGCCAACAAAATAGCTGTTCTACAAGTTGGTAAACTGGGAAACCACAGAGAATCAGAACCTCTTCTATTTACAGGAAGGATGACAGCCTAAGGGTACTTCATCTCAATAATAACAACATTCAAGTAACGGTGCCCAGGTCATGACAAGCCATGACCCTCCCCACAGCTCCTTCAGGAAGCTGGCTCAGTGCCACCTTTTATCAGCAGCAACCAAGAGTGCAACTTTAACAAACAAGAAAAAAAAGGAGAAATTAATTTTATATCCTTAAAAACCCCTTCAACCAGTTAAGCAGTTGTGTATGCGTATATATATGTATATATACACAAACACATAGAGTCACACCAAAGCAATCTAAGAAATTGACTGAGTAAAATCCTGATCTCATTAAACAGCACTTTCCCAGTTTATTGTATGATTTAACAAATACTGTATCTGAATTGTATTCATTCGTATACCAAAGGAAATTAATTGTCAATTACAGAAGTGGGACTGGGTTGTACAGGCTTAACTTTGGGAACAGGACATTGCAGTTCGCCAATTGAGCCTTCCATCCTAGTGTTATTTCTACTACATTTTCTTTCTCCAATAGAATAACACAAGTAGAAAATAAAAAGAAGGCGCTGTCTACAAAAGTATCACAGCAAAATGAAACAAGTCAGGTACAAAAGCTGGGCAAAGCAATATTAAGAGTTTCATGCAGTTAGTATCAGGGGAATTTAGGCTCCAAATCATGGCATCTGGCAAATTTCAAGTTCTGTGACTAGCAGGAGAAACATTCCTCTTACGTTACTGCATTCCTATATTGAGTAAATTAATTTATCATAAAGAGAATAAATTGGAATGAGAAACATATCTGCTCAGGTTTACATATTTAAATACATCTTTCAATCATTACCTATCTACCTTCAGGTTTTTAAAAAGATTGGAGAAACTACTTTCACTTGAAAGATTGGTTACTTTATTAAATTTTGATTTTGTAGGGAAGCAAGAACTGTTGGAACAAGTTAGTTTTAAAAATAGCAGTTGTTTCGGATTAAAATAATAAGCTATTCAAGTAGTTCTTACACACAATACTGAGTCTTCTTGTTTACATGCACCCACCCACAGCTCTAACATTCATTGAATCCTACTGGGATAAAATCTTTTCAGGTGTGCTGTGAAACAACTGTTTTTCAACTGGCATGTTCATGTCCTATATACACGCCTGATACAGAATTACACGTTAAAAATAAATCCTACTTTAAACTCCTAAATTTCTACCTGAAATGGAAAAAATATGTCTGAATCACCACAAAAAAATGTTTCCCACAGACACCCTTTCAAAGCTGCTGAAATAAGAGTAATTTTTGCTCAGAAAATTTAGGAGTGCTCCTGAACATTGTACTGGGATTTTCTGCATAGCTTGAGACACAGGAAGATAATAGGCAGGCAGGAGTCTTTTCCCCGCACAGAACGTAAGACCAATTGCAATAATTATTTTCAATATACCTGCAGCTGAATCTGTAAGGATAGAAGATGATTTCTGAATGGTAAGCCAGTCTTCTCTCAAAAATAACAATAACAATAATAAAAAAGTGTACACTGCCAGCAATTTTGTGATGAATACCTTGATAAATTAAGATTACATTACTATTCATCTGGTAAAAATTACAGCTAACAGTGTTTCTTGCCTTGTATTAAATGTTAATTACTTGAATTGTCCTCTTTTCACATGAAAACACAAGTTACATTAGGACAGTGAGTCTTTACTGAGAAAACATGTACATATCCTTCGCTAGAGTGAAGAGTGTAACATTTGGGAATTCATCCTATAACCCGGAATTCAAGATACAGGAGCAGAGAGGTGCAAGAGTTTAGAGCTGCTCCTACTAAACTACGGTGGTGGTGGTGGTGGTGGAGATAAGCTCTTTCCCCCCTCTGCCCCACAAGGAAGATGTTCCAATCAAGAGCTTGCTGTGGATAACTTGTAGCATCATAATTAAAACATTTATTTTTAAACCTGTCAGTCATTAGTATGTTCTATTAATGTGTAACTTGGAAGCTTATTCATAAATACATGGCATTTGGGTCACTGAATAAATTATAATGATAGGAGTATGGATTGAATTTGGAAGAGTATGGTATAATGTTTAGGAGCTGATTTTCTTTTCTTTTTTTTCATTTATCTCCTTGTGTAACATTTACAAAGACCTCTTTCTTATCACAGAAGTCCCTGTTTATCAAACAGTGATACAGGAAGAAGTTGTTTACATTTTCAGAAATACCAACATACATCACTTATGACAAAAAAACCCAAGCACTCCATAAGAAATGCTCAATCACTGTCAATCATATGGACTAAAATATACATAAACCAAAGCATGTGGTGTGAACTATATTAGATTCAAACTGAACACAGAATTACAACTATAACAAACAAAACCAAATAATTACAAGTGACTCATAGGCCTATTTACACATCTCACCAAACTGCTGGAAAGGTAGGTAACCATAGAAACCTGACAGCCTAAATTCAGTACTTTAACATTTGTATTTAGTTTAAAATGCTGAAAATGATGTTTCTATTTAACAAAATCAATATTTTCAAAGGTTTCATTTTTGCTCTGGTACTTAAATAAAAGCTTAAAATGATTTAATCTCTCGGTTACTAATAATTTGCCTTTTAAATTTAATTTTATCCCAGTAAAGATTACAATTGATACTTTGTAATATAAATTCTTAATACTTTTTAATACTGCAAATTAATATTTCTAACATTTCTTTAACAACTGAAATTAAATAATGATATAAACCAAACACTCCTGCACTTACAATTAAGCGCTTTGCACATAGACTTTTCAAAGCTGCACAATAGCAAAAAAAAATTACTCATATTAACTGTTAAAGCTGAAATGTTAATAGCCTTTTCAACTTATAGTTCTTTTTCACTGACAATTACAATTTGCATGGTTTAAAGTTTAATACTATGATTAGTACTAATGTCCTGTATTTTACTTCATAATCTAAATGAGTAAAATATTATTTTTGTAGTTCACTGGCTCTTATACTTAGGCTGTAATGTTCAGTGTGTATTTCATTATGCAGATGAGCAATGGATGTTGTCTAACATGATTTAAATGGGTCAACAGTATTTTCCTATTCACATTAATCATACAGACAGCCACAAAAAACCTGACAAAACCAAGCCTTGAAAACTAACCTAGGAAATCTCTTTTTATCATCGACTCTTCCCACTGGTTAAACAACAGCAAACACATGCTACAGGAGATGAGACCCTTGCAAACTGTGGAGCCGAGGCTGAGTGCTGCTCCTCTCGCTGGTGCTGGCAATGGGCAGCGCTCCCCGGGCTGCCTGCGGCCCCATGCCAAGACTGATTCTTGTCCCACAAAGTTCAATGGGAGCTGTGTGTTGACAAACTGAGCAAATCTGAATCGGCAAAATTCGTTCTTGGCACGGGGACATGCAACAGTGCTGAATGCAAAGGCATGTTGCCCGCTGACGCGGTGCTGGCAGACGGGCTGCTCTTGCATAAATACGCTTGTTGGAAAACTCCCACTAAAGTCAAAGGACACAGGATCAGATCATTTATTGCCATCTGTTTATAAAACACATCAAAATGAAGAGCTCTACTCTCAAGCCATGTAGCCATCATCTACAGCCCATTTCATACATGCTATATTGCAAAAAAAAGGCAATTTATAAGTAACATAGCACTTCTGAGGAAAAGGAAGCTGTTCTAATAAACGCTGAAAGGAAAGAACAAAAGTATAAACACACAGAAAGCAACAGGATGATCAAGTAGCAAACATTCAGACCCATTTATAAGAGAAATCTATTTTTAGGGTTAAAAAAACCCAAAGTAATCAAGATTGTCTGAAATACAAGAGTTCTGCCATGGCACAAAATCTCTACAAAGGCAGAGATTGCATGTTTAATTATAATACAGTGTAATAGGGCTGGAAAAGCTTGCCTGGGAAATCCCGCACCATGGTTCATACCATTGGGCTCATCCTGCCAGACAATGCAGGAAAGGTCCAAACTTCTTGGGGACAGGATGCATGGGCTGTGAGGCAACGGGCAGGTGGGTAATAGGACACTTTACCTCCTCCCTTATCAGGGCTGGACAGTCAGCAATGGATGGTTAAGGTTTACCAGTGTCTGCTCTCCACATCCATCCTTATATAGGCATACTGGTACCAGCACAGCCAGCAATATTTTACCGGAGGCAGTAACTGTGCAGTGCACAGAGCTAAGGCATCAGTAGGCACTGACCTGGTGGCTGATTTGCAGTAAATTGAACAATAACTACCACTATGATAATTAAGGTAAAATCTTTGCCATGACCTTTTCTAGGTGTTGGGAACATGGAAGAGGCCAGTGTATTATTTCATGGTGTGACAGCCCATGAGCAGGTCAATATCTGGCACATGCATTTCCCCTACACCCTGTCCCATAGCATGCACATCATGAGGAGTTAAGACAACAGACATTCCACATCTGCAAGTTTCTAAAGCACATGTTTGGACTGGCTCCAGTCCTGCCCATCTGGCCTTTTGCTTTCCAGTGAGAAAACATCACATTTGGCTCCCAAAAGCTAGATGGGAGCCCTGAGTGGTAACGAAGGACCTCTGGGTTTCTCCACGGCCTCATATCCCATGGTCAACACCCCAGCTACTGCTGTGGGAGATTTCCTGGAGGAACTGCAAGCAGCACTCATCTTGTTGAAACAAAGATGAAAAATCACAAATTACGGCAGCTGCGTAACTCCTAGAGAGAGGATCATGCATCTAGCTGTACTTCAGGCAGTACCTCTCTTGACCTTGCACGTCTTGACCTTTGCAGGTAGTACCAAATCTTGACCTTGCTCCCAGTCACTTCCCCTGATGCACACCTTGCAGGTATCAGTCACCCACATAACACCTCTCTACTTCATATCGCGTTCCAAAGAGAGGTACGGCAAGGCTCATGACAGCCACTCCCCACACAGGCCGACTTAAAAAAGCAGAATACTTCATTTCTAAACTATCTTCACCACCCTATTCACTCACTTTGCTTTATCTATTTTAGAAAATCAGATGGTGGAGTAAGCCGACAAACAAAGGGTCTTCACATGAAATTAGGTCTCCAACTCTTTTTTCTAGACTGAAAATAGTTTACACAGCTCTTTTCTGCACAGACGGCAAATCTATAAGAAGCAATAAATGTTTTGCTTTCAACAAGATGAAGATAATCTAACTTGCCACCTAAATATGACAGGCATTTCTTCAGACCAGGCTTAGCTACCTTGTCTGAAAAGCTGGGCAGTAATCCATGAAATTCTCCATGGGACATCCCACTTAACTAATTACTAATTTGTAAACTCTACTTGGAACTTTGAGATGGTCTTGTGTGATTTGTCAAACATCCACTCCAACTCTCTTTTTTTGCTGCTGTTGTTACAGGTTTGTGCTTTAAATATACAGATTTGCATAGTACTGTGCACTGGAGAAACAGGCTGGTATGGGCAGCAACCTGAGCCCATAGCTGGATCTTCCAGTTGCTCTGACAGGAGCCAGGCTCTTGCAAGTGAGAAAAATTTCAACCATAAACAGCTCACTTATGTGTTTATTTATCTGGGGCTTTGGTTAGATAGAAACAGCTTTGGAGGCAGAAATGACACAAGAAACAAACAAACAAAAAGATACTAGTTGTATCAAAAGAAAATAAAATTGCAAAGGCTTCCCACTCAATCTGATACAAGAAAAAAGGGCATTTATTACCTCTAAATAAAATTTAACATGACTGGGAAAAAAGGCTGCATAGCGTTCTGTGTGTCACACAAGAAACAGGCGCATATTGGGGGATTATGGAAAATGTGAAGTCCATTTCAATCCATCCACACGGCCTACTGCAAAGTGATATGACTGTGAGTTCAAATCTTATGGCCCTGGCCACAACTTTATAAACACTGGGACTCCCAATTCGCATTCACTGAGCAAACAGCTACAGCGACATTGATTCCAATGTGGCTGCTCCCCCTGCAATGGCACAGTCAGCTGAAGCAACGTGCCTCTGCTGTGCCTGCTCATGGCGCTCATGGCAGTCCATCATCACCACTTGTCACACCAGAGGGAACAGGAGAGAATCAGTGTCTCTACCTCAGCCACCCCAGCAGACTATTTTCAGCTGGCTGAACTTCTAGCTGCCAACCTTCCACCAACCCATTTGCAACCTCCTGCTGGTTCTCACAGCTGAGGACACTTGCACCAAAAGCTGCCGAAATTTGTCTACCACCTTCCTATTCTATATCAAATCTTGTGAAACAGTTTTACAAAGGAGTTATTAGGAGAAAACAGACCCTAAATGAACAAAAGCAAGACTGTCTTTATCAAGCTGGTTTTAGAAACAGACACTTCTCCTGTATTCTTTGGGTTGCTCTGCAATTAAAGTCTTCCCAGAAAGCATGTATTAGTTAAGGAAAGTACTCTACAACCCAAAACTCTCAGACAACATAATAATCTTACTCAGAAAACCACTGGGACAGAGCTATAGCACGAAGTAATTCTTGCTGGTATAACTTGACCTTTATGAGGAACCAATTTAAGCTTTCCCAGAAGACAACTCTTCTCATGAGCTGAGCTTCTGCCGAATTGGCAGGGTGTGCCAGACCATGAATAAATCTTTATAAACCCAGACAAGTCACACTATTTATTTCTTTAAAGAACTTCGTCTCTGTCATAAGCCATAAGAAGTATGTTAATAATAATCAGTGCAGAGCAATCAGAAAGCATTCACAAAGATGAGACCTTCCCAGTCACCTCACAGGTGCTAGTTCAGAATGCACGTCAATGAAATTAAGCCTTATCACTGCCTACTGTGATGGAACAGTGTGACTCGATTCTCAGACCAACACAGTGTTAAACAGGACATCTTTGCAAGATGACTATCCACTTTGTCTGGTAGAGAATGACCTCAACTCAACAACTACAGACCAGTTTACAAGCACATTCAAGAACTACCAACCCAAGCAGCATACAAGTAGATCGGCAGTGACTGCAGCATTTATTACATAAGGCATCTCATTTCTACGACTTGTGAACAGAAGTTAGGACTTCAGTGTTGCTTTTTCCAACTCTTCTCATCACCTGTGTCTATCAGAAAATCTGAGACTGAACAGCTGGAATTGATGTGAGAAACAGACTATTCCTTTGCCATTTTCTTTAATGTTATGCCACCTCTGTTGACATAATGAAAAAAATACGTAAGGTAAGACCTAATTTAAGTTTATGTACATCTAAACATGAAAACAGACAACATAAGTGCACATGCTCCTTTAAAGAACATCTGATATGCCGTAACTATTAATATATAAACGTAGATCGTGTTCATAACTGCAATACTCCTTCATGGTTCAAAATGAGCTTGATCTGAAATTGAAACATAGCTTTAAACAAGCATTTTAACCATGAATACCTGAAAATAAACATCTTTAAAGTGTAAAAAAGTTGGAGACTATACAGCTCGTTGGAGTGGCTGGTTATTTATCATCTAAACTCGAAAGAGAACAGTGTGACTTTCAAAAACACTCATGAAAGTTTTCTCAGGCTGCATGCTACAAAGTACGCCTGCCAAAAGACCTCTGAAGAGCCCTTTATTCCCCTTTTCTAAGGCTTCCATGCAGCCAGGCAGTTTGTTGAACACTTGGTTTCCAACATTTTCCTCTTTGTTCAGAAATTAAGTAAAGGGAAAAACATCTACTGAGGCTCTAAAATAAGAACTCCCCAGGGAATAAGTAATTTAATGAAATAAACAAACAAACTTTCCATACTTCATCTCTATGTCATAAAAAAAAACCAGATTTTTTCCAGTCAAATATTTTTAATATGAATGATCTTAAAGGAATTAAAAAAAAAAAAAGAAAATCCAGCTTCCTTTGCCCAGGGACATATGTAATAACCACTTCCAAGGAGCAGCCAGTTATCATACGGATAAAGCCCTTTGCCAATAAACTTGTAAATATTAAATTACTAAAATTATTAAATAATTTCTCTGAGATCCCTTTAAAAACAGAGCATGATAATGCAATAACTAAAACAAAATAGTGAATTCTGACACTTCTTATCATGCCAAACATAGCCACATACTGTATTTTCCTGCCTGAACTGTGTATGATAAACTACAAGTCCTTAACTGTGCGGTACATGAATTTTCAAACCTACTCTCTCACATTTTACTCCTACAGTTAAAACATGAATTCTTTGATTATGTGACATACCTTATAAAGTGAAGGGAACTGCACTGAATTAATTACATATAAGTGTGAATTTATTTAAGGTGGGGCACTTGTTTCTTTCACATCTCTAACCTGGTGTCGCAGACCACAGTACTTGGGGCCAAAGTATTTTATTATCCAGGCTGGACAGACTGTATGGTGCTGATACATAGAATGGTTAGGGTTGGAAATAATAAACAACATGCAGTTGTTTCAACTTGTAATTTCAGAAAACCTGGGAATTTTTTTTCACAAAGCAAGTTCATTATCAATTTGTTTAAGAGCCCTACATGGGAGTCCACATTGCCACTGGAGAATGCTTAGAAAAAGCCATGCTCAAATAGCTGTGAACCAACAGGTCACAGACAGGGAGGTCTGCTCTCAAACACAGAGCAGTGTTGCTGCTTTTGTGGCTGTTTTTGCCAGCCCGACAGGCAGCTCACTCTCACATTTATTGGGAAGCAACCTGAATAAAAGCACCATATCATGCAGCACGGGCAGCAAGTGCCCAGAGCAGGAGACTCCTTGGGGCAGTAGAGCAGGAGAAGCCTGGGTGCAGGAATGATCAAAGTGAGGGATGGGCAGATGAAGGGCTGAGGAAACCTGTGCAACATGGCAAGACTCACCAAGGAGAAGGAGCACAAAGAACAGGAGCTTTGGTGATAACTGTAGAGACAGTCAGAAAGGTCAGGGAGAGAAGTTCAGACAGAAGCATAAGAAACGTAAGAAAGGACAGAAAAAGCATTTGGAAAAACAGAAGAAGGTAGAAGACCTGAGAATTTGGCAAACAGAACCCAAGACATATAAAGAGTAAGAAATGACCAATTAAGAAGAAACCCTTATAATAGCAACA